CTCTCTCACTTTTTCTCTCTCTCTCTCCCCTCTCTCTCAAATAACAAAATTTTATTTTCCATGCGAGGATACAATTATATTATTTATATATATATTTGTATGGTTGATATTAATTTTCGACGGTTAAAGTTGATTGAAAATCTTGTAAAATATTTTTCGTAAAGGTAAGAGAGAGAAAAAGGAGAAAGAGACAGAGGGAGAGAGAGAGAGAGAGAGCGAGAGAGTGAGAGAGAGAGAGGGGCAGAGAGAGAAAGAGAGAGAGAAAGCAAAAAAGTTTCGAGAAACATTTTTGATTTTGTCTCTTTCACTTCTCAGTGATTTTTTTTAATCTCTCTTTATTATCTATATTTCTTTATTATTATTAATAATTTATTATTATTATTATTATTATTATTATTATTATTATTATTATTATTATTATTATTATTATTATTATTATTATTATTATCATCACTACCATCATCGTCATTATTATCTTTTCTTTCTTATTAAATAGCTGTAAAGTCGTGACTGAGACATTTGGTATCGCTGAAAAGAAAAAATAAGTTTTGATGATTTAAACGCACCCCCTCGATCTTACGTAAGTATTTTTGGGGTTGTCGTCGACCATTTTATTTTTCGAAGAAAGAGAGTGAGAGAGAGAGAGAGAGAGAGAGAATACGCGAGTGAGAAAGAAAGAGAAAAATAAACAATATTGAGAGAACAAGGGAAAAAGAGAATGAGAGTGTTCTTTTTTTTTATATTTATTGTTTATTTATTTATTAAAGTATCGTACATAGGAAAAAAAGAAACAAAGTGTCTTGTGTTTGATCAGCAAGTTTTTCTAATATTCGTTTTCGTTTTCGTTGATATCGTATTGGCCAATAGAAATTGAAAAGTTGGACTTCAGTGAGTTCGTTCGATCGAGTAGAAACATCCATTTTGAAATATCTTCGCACGTTAATGAATCTTTTTTTTTTTCCTTTTTTTATTTCTTTTTCCCTCTCGTGAAATAATTGAGTGGAACCATTCGGCATTGTGTTTGCACACGATATATACATACATGTATACATACATACGTACGTACGTACGTACGTAATTTTACATATATACATATGTAATATGGAGAACAATTGGAAATAGCAAGAAAAAAAGAAAAGGAAAGAAAAGGAAAAAGAAAAAGAATAAAAAAGGCGTCAGAAAACTCATGATCTTGCTTCTCGTAATGTTGCTTTTTCTTGTCGGCGGCCATGCGATAAGCGTTTCCTTGCAATTAAGGAATACCATAATCAGGGTCGAAGAATACGACAACGACAACGCAACGGAGAAGCGAGGAGGTCGGTCCATCAAGGTCAACGCCAAACGTTACGTCGCACCTTCTCGTTCAGACATTAAAGTAACGTTCGCGAGTAGTCAGAGTGTTACTATTAGATGTTACTACTATTACTAATATCACTACTACTGTTATAACTATTATCACTGATATTACGGATAATACTAATACTATTAAAGATTATTAGACGTAATCGTGTAATGTCGTCGTAGATTGGACGATCGAGATTCCGTTTCGTCATCTTTGTCGTTCTTTTTATCGTTGTTTTCCGTTAGATCGAAATAATTTAATTCGACAGAAATAATCTTTTTATTATAATGATGCCACACCTTTTTTCTTTTTGTAGCATCTGTTAATTTATTTTTTTCTCCCCCTTTTTTTTCCGAAGCCTCTGTATAAAACATAAATACCAGACACAGTATGGGCCAAAAGTTAAAAAAAAAAAAAAAAAGAAGACAGAGAGTAAGAGAGAATTAGATTGTAATAGTTTCTTTGGACGATTCTTTAAATGGTAAAGGCAAAAAAATATTTGTAACCGGGCCATTAGAAAATATTTCTAACCGGGCCAAGTGAAAAATAATCTTATCGTTATATCATTTAACAGTCGACACACCTTTTTCTCTTTGTGGAATATATATTTTTTCTTTTTTTTTTTTTCTTTTTTTCCTTTTTCATTCGTTCCTTCCTTTTATTTTTTGTTTCATTTCATTTTTGTGTCTTAAATCTTCATTTGTATTACAAAATACAAGGTAAAAAAAAAAGTCTTAACAAAAACCAAAAAATAATGGATTTTTAAATGAACTTAGAAACTTTTTAGCCACGACTCCTTTACCTTGTGTGTGTGTGTGTTTTTTTTTTCTTTTTTAAATCCGCGTTTAAATTAATCTTCTTTATCCTTTGATGTTCTTCTTAAGGCCGAAAACCTTTCCGTCGTCATTTTTTAATAATAAGTAATTGTTTCGCGAGGTTAAAATATCTGATAAAATTTTCTCGGTTTGTATCCCTCCGAAGGCCAAAGAATGAAAGAAATCGTAAGATCACAAACTAAGCCGTGCTTAAAGATTTTTATCTTATCTGTCGATTGCAAGATCGTTTTGTTTAGTTATACCGAGCAACATGTTGTAGGTATATATTACTTACTAACATGTAATAAATATGATGATGAAGAAAGAAAATAAAAGAAAAAGAGAAAGAAAAAAAAAAGAAGTATACAGAAGTCTGTTTTTGTTATACTACGAAGATCGTGGGATGTGTCATGATTGCTTTCTAACAACAAGCATTGCGTGAGTTATTTTACTTGGTATTAGTTACAAAGTTCGTAGTAAAGAACATCGATTGATATTATATATCGATCATCATCGATCGATTTCCCTATCTTGTTTTCTCTCTCTCTCTCTCTCTCTCTCTCTCTCTCTCTATATATATATATATATATATATTTATCTGTATTATCTATCTAACTCAGCTAATGATTATTTAAACCTCTTGTGTATCAATTTCTTGATTTCCTCGAGGTTGAGTACATTAAAGAGATTAACGAACTGGTATTTATGTCGTACGATAGACTTTCCTCATTCTCGAATAATAATTAACGAGCTTGTCGATATTATTTCTCTCTCTCTCTCTCTCGATTTGTATCTCTGTATCTCTTTTCTTCGATCTTTTTTCGCTCAACTTCGCCTTCCTTCGTTTTATTTGTTAAGCGCACGATCGTAAATTATAGGATGGATTTCTTTTCTTTTCTTTTCTTTTTTTTTTATTCTTTTTTTTTTTTTTTTTTTTTTTTTTTATTGAGAAAGAACGATAGATCTTTGATTTCCGTGTTTTAGCTTAATCATGGAAATCCGATCGAGCTCACTGTTTATTTTGAAAAAAAAAAAAAAATGAAAACTTGTTGCGATTAGACGCTACTTATGAATATACAAATAAAAAATGGCGCGGTCTTAATATAGTGTTACAGTATTTTTTCTTTTCTATTCTTTTTTATTTTTTTATTATTTGTTTTCTTTTTTCTTTTTTTTTTCTTTTTTTTGTTTTTATTTTTATTTTATTTTATTTTAAGAAAATTCTGATAGTAGATTTACTTTTTCTTTTTTTATGATCGAAGAAAAAAAATCAAATTCGATGGAGTTATTAAATACGTATATGTATACGCGTACAGATATAAAACATACGGGTATTGTAAAGAGAGATTGTTAGTTACGAACGATGTGTTAGAATTTGTATTTTAATTTAATAAGAAGGAGATTATTTAAAAGATATTTTTTTTTTTTTTATTAATTTTTTTTTCTTTCTATGCTAGGACAATCAAACGACAAGGTCAGAAATTTTTTTGGATATTTATTTTTTGAATTTTTTCTCTTATATTTTTTGAAAACTAAGTATTATCATATGTGTAGATTTTATTAAGTATTCCGTATTATTATAAGTAAACATATATATGTATGTATATAATAAATTTCGGAGTGAATACTTAATGAAACTTTATTTGGTCCATCCTGTATAATATGTATACATATGTATATGTATGTATATATGTATATATACATACAGTGGGAATATGACATACTGCATCAGACATGTGTGTCGACAACGACAAAATATATTTTTAAACGGGCATTGCGTCAAAAGCGTAGGTTCTCATTGAATGACACAAATAGTGTTTGACCGACGACGATATCGGTAAGAGACATGTCGTCGTGCTCCATTTGTCTCTGTGTTTCATTCTCTCTCTGTCTCTTTTTCTCTCTCTCTCTCTCTCTCTCTCTCTCTCTCTCTCTCTCTCTCTCTCTCTCTCTCTCTCTCTTTCTCTCTCTCTCCCTCTCTTTCTTTCTCTTTCTCGAATTCGCCATGATCAATTTCCATTAGTTTATGAATTACGAGTAGATTTTTATTTATTTGTTTCTTTTCTTTTCCTTTTTTTTTCTTTTTCTTTTTCTTTCATTTTTCATTATATTTCTTTTAAATTAAAAATTTATATATATATATATATATATATATAAAGACAATCTTCTTTAAATGAGAACGTTGATATTATTTCCTTCGTTTTAATCTCAAAGATTAACCATTTTCTAAAAGCACAAAATGGCCGCCTCTGTACCATGTTTCGTCAGTAATACCAACTTAAAAACATAACATCTTGGATGTTCCATTATGTCGACAGTTAAATTTTCGAAGTGTTTAATGTTGTATCGTCGACGAGGGCCGTATTATAGTTATTTTTAGTTGTCGCCTATGAAACGAAAATGTGATTGACAGACAAGTTCGAATTTTCTTTTGAGGTCAACGAAGAACAACGCGAACCCCTTCTTCTTTTTAGGTCTATTTTGTTTATCTACTTTAGTCATCCATTATGAAAAAAAAAAAAAAAAAAAATAAAAAATAAAAAAAGAAGAAGAAACAAAAGTAAAGACCCGAGGGAAAAATTTCGAATTGAACGAACGAAATTAAACGTTTATATCTGTGCAATCTAAAATTATGGTTAACGTAAAATTAAGTGTCGTCCATTTTGTTTGTGGTAGGTCGCCCACGAAAAAAAAAAAATGAGGAAAGAAAGCAAAAAAAACCGTGGGAAATTTGAATGAGATTAACTAAATGAAACGTTTATATTTCCATACGATGTAAAAATAATAATTAACAAGTATACTCTTTTTAATTATATTTTTTCTCTTTCTCCCTTTGTTCTTAGAGAAGATGCGGCCTTGCTGCTGGAGTTGAGACCGCCTCGCAGATTACGAAAATTCGAGGGTCCACGTCCGAAACCGATAACCAGAAAGTAAGGACCTTACTAAAAAAAAAAAAAAAAAAAAAAAAAAAAAAAAAAAAAATCAAAAAAAAACAAACAAACAAACGAACAAACAAAAAATTTTCGGCGTGTCTCATCTATCTTCTTCCTACTATCGTCGTTAAAACGGAACTTTCGAAAAAAAAATAAAAAAAAAAAGCATGAGAGCGTATAAGTTAATGAGAACTTAGAAAAAAAAAAAAAAGAAAAAAAGAAAAAGAAAGTAAGTGAAAACTGAAATAAGTTCGAACACAAAACAAAAGTAACAATAACAGCAATAACAAATAACAAAACAGAACTCTCATCCCCACGAAAGCAGAAGCGCGCGAAAAAGAAAATACAAAAGAAGGGTTGCGTTTTTGAGAGTCAAGAGTTGTATGTGTATGTATGTATATATATATATGTGTGTGTGAGTGTGTGTGAGTGTGTGTGTATATATATATATATATATACATAATATATGTACATAGTCACAGAAATATTTACAAGTGATAAGAGACGAGCATTTATATATAAAAAAGAAGAAACCTCTACTTTCTTTCCTCGTGTTTTTCCATGTAAATAAAAACGTGCAGAGACAACTAGACTGATCTTAAAAACGCACTAAAGGAATATTTATGTAAGTGTAATATATATATATATACATACATATATATATATATATATATATACATATATATACATACACGCATATATAGAAAGTTAAAGGGTGGGGGTGAGAGAAAGAAAGGGTGCAAATAAGAGAAAGAACACCCTCAGTAGTAAAAAAAATAAATAAATAAATATATATATATAATAATTAAATTATATTAAATTAAATCAAAACAAAGTCAAGAACGAAAGAAAACAGAAACGAAAAGAAGAACAAAATAAACGGGGGAAAAAAAATAAAATAAAAAGAAAAAAGAAAGATGGCTCTGATGAATTCTTGGTCCATTTCGATGAATCATCTGATCAATGCTGCACTCACGTTCCTCATCGTTCTTCGATATTGTGCTATCGCCGCCGACGATAAGAGCAATACTAAGCCTCCTCCGTGCTCCAGGTAAGTGATTAGAAAAACAAAAACAAAAAAAAAACAAAAAAATTACTAAAAATTTATATATATATATGTATCTACATGTACATATATTACATATATTATATTATATAAATGTGTATAAATACTAACGTATACAGATATATATAAGTAAGCGCGCGCGAGAGCACATGACGATAATCTATTGATGTTCTGATTTGATAGGGGAAATTTTTATTGTGGGAAAAAAAAAAGACAGGAAAAATTCGAATGGTCTAAAAATTTCACAACAATACTACTAAACATTTTTTTATTTCCTCGAACTCCTGCACTTATACAGAAAATTATAATAATTCATGATTATAATGATAATTATCGATGATAAATAATAATTATTATTTCAGTTCGTTTTTGAATTGACATGAGTTGTTTTCGAAAGGTGAAGACGGGTTTGGTGAGGAAATTTTACAAGGAAATAAATAAGGAAAGAAAGAAATGAAATTATCATCACACACACAAATATATTTTTTTTAATTTCTTCTTTGGGAATAAATTCGAAAACGGTTTCTTTTTTATAACGAAAAAGAAAAACAAATAATAATAATAATCCAAAGAAAGAAGTCTACACTTAGTAGTCGTAAAAAAAATAAATAAAAAAAAAAAATAAATAAAATGAAAACAATTTTATCAGAGATTAAAGTTATATAAAATCTTAATTAATTAAAATTGCTTGAAAATAATAGGTAAATACACGTCAACAAAAATTTCCATCATATTATTATTAAATTTTAGAAGAAAATTCAAAAATCGTACAATTGTTTACGATAACTAAAAAACAAAAAGTCTTACTGGACAATTATATCGTTTAATCCATAAATAAAATTCGAATCAATTAGAAAAATGACTAATTTAGTCGATTCGAAAAAAGATATTTATTAAACAGTAAAATCATATAAGATTTTAATTAATTAAAAAATCATCGATTAGTTGATCCAAAGAAAAGAAAAGGAAAAAAAAATATTACCATCATATTTTTCCATTAATTAATTAATTATCTAATTTTTTAATTTTTATTTTTCTCTTTTTTTTTTCTTTTTTTCCTTAAACAAATTCGAAAATGATACTATTTATAGGCTTTAACCGAAGAATAATTTTGTTCAGACAATCGTTCTATAAATTTATATATATAAAATAATATATATAAAATTTGATGTAATTGTAAAATTATTTAATTCGATTGAGGAAAAAGAAAATGCATTTTTTCTTTTCCCTTTTTTTTCTTTATTTCTTTTTTTTGGTTTGTTTGTTTTTTTTCTTTTTTTTTTTTTTTTCTTTCTTATTATTATTATATTATTTCGTATTACTTTTTCTTGCGATGTAATGTGTGTAAGGAAAAAAGAAATAGAATAAAAAAATACGGAAAAAGAGAAAAGAGGGAGAAAGAAAGAAAAAAGAAGCTAAAGTAAAATAAAGAAAAGATGGTGGGCGGCTAGATCGTTCGTCGCACGTTGATATTTCTATGACGTATGAACGCCCACCTTTTAGTTGGTTATCGTCCAACGTTCGATTCACGTGCGTACGTTCATAGTTTCGTCGACCAATTTTAGTTTAACATATACAAAATTAAACTTTAGCTTATTCTCATCGTATATATATATATATATTTTTTTTTCTTCGTTTTTTTTTTCTTTTTTCCTATTTACCGACGATTTAATTTCACATAAATCGATTTATGTCAAATATGGACGATCTAACATCAATATAATATTTCATATTCATATTTACCAAGGGTATTTTCGGAACATATTTCATTTCATATTGAAACCACACCTATACTTGTTATCACTGCTAATTACCTTAGTTAATTAATAACCATCATTAAAAGCATCTTTTAAGATTTCGTTATGAACGAATCCATAAACACGGTCTTCGTATGTGTGTGCGTGTGCGACGCGTAATAAATCTTTAAAGTCGAAGGTTGATTTATTACATAATTTTTGATCGATTTGTTTTTGAAATGTTGATACAAAAAAGGAAAAGAAAAAAAGAAAATAACATAATCCATTTCATATGAAATCATTCTCGATATAATTTTATCTTTTTTAATGTCATGCAACAACGATATCGCTTATGTGTATCTACATTTTGGATATTTAGCATGAGGCGTAATAAATCTTCAGGGTCAAAGGTTGATTTATTACATAATTTTTGATCGATCTTGTTTGGACATGTTTATACAAAAAAAAAAAAAAAAAAAAAAAAAAAAGAGAAAAAAAAGAGAAAGAGAGAGAGAGAGAACAAACGTTGTCCATACTATACGAATTCTTCGGTATAATTTTATCTATCATTTAAAACGTCATGGAACTTTGATATCGCTTAGGTATATCTGTAGTTTTTTTTTTCCGTGACTAAGAAAGATATCATTATTTTATATTTGAAAATTTTTCATATATATTTTTGTTTAAATATTGTATCTATAAATTTTACATGGTATAGGATAGTTACGGTACAGTTCTAAAAACTATATAGATAGTGTTTGGTAGTATAACACCAGTATAGATACTATATTTTTAATATATTATATATTATATTATTAATATATTATACTGTTATACTATATATCACAATTATATATACTATACTATTATCACAAATCTTTTCATTTTATAATAATAATAATTTATTGATTCGTATCAACTTTAACTATTCTTTTTTTTCTATATTACATAATTTTTTTATATAACCAAAATAATTCGATTTCAAAGGGGTTTTAAATAAATAGAAAAAATAAAAGGGGAAAGAGAGAGAGAGAGTATATCTATGTTGTATGTTGTGTGTAAGATAATGGGCTCCCTTTTGTCACGAGGTGGACAATGTTGATTTCTACGTGTCCGTGACACACAGAATGAACCGGACGGAAATAAATGTTTTGACGATCGGCCAGTCACTCGCATTCCGTACAATTTATAGCGGACACACCTAATTAGAAGAGTTGCTCTTGAGAAGATATTATTGGAAGTCAGGTGTAATCCCTTCTCTTTAAGCAATCTGGCACGGATTTTCCACGAATGGATGATCTCACAATCTTCTTCATAAACTATATCTCCTTCTTCATCTTCTTCTTCTTCTTCGTCTTCTTCTTCAATAAGAAATCTTCCTGATGATCTCCATTTTTTATTTCTTTCAAACGAATTAAGATCTAACGTCTTTCTTGATCGTCAACTTTTTCGTCATGATCATCATGATCATCATCATCATCATCGTCGTCGTCATCATCATCATCATCATCATCATCATCATCATCATCATCATCATCATCATCATCATCATCATCATCATTGTCTTTAACTTCTTCTTCAATTTCTTCAATTTCTTTTTCGTCTCTCATGAAATTTTCTATCGAGATAGTACGACAATTTCTACATGTAAGACGTTATATTTAATGCGCAAAGCTTTGAAGTAGTATCAAGTATAATAAAGATAAGAAGTGCAAATAATAGCTCGATTAGGAGAATATCAAGTTCCAAGAAATTAAGTTCTTTTCTTCTTTTGTTTTTTTTTCTCTCTTTCACTATTTTTATATCGTTCTACGAATGCCATATAGAAAAAAAAATATATATGTATATATATACATATATTATTTTTTGTTAATAGTAAATTCGTTTTTAATAGTAATTAATTCGTTTGCACGAGAATGATACGAGAATGATTTTATCTATTTTTATTTCTATCTAGGAGTGCTTATGATTTAAAAAGAAAGACGAAGAAGAAATCGTAAAAAAATTCTTTTTCGATCAACTAATTTCAGACAGAGAAATAATTTCTCTCTCTCTCTCTCTCTCTCTCTCTCTCTCTTTTTTTTTGTTTTTTCTTTCGTTTCTCTTTATTGACAAAATTAAAGTCCTGTAAAAGGCACAGTGATGCGAATAAATTGATACCATATAAAAATCACATCTGTCAATTACTTAGTTACTCTCATTAATTTGATTTATTTCTGTATCACGAAAATGTTCCCTTATTAATAATCGATAAGATCATAAATATATATCTAATTGGATATTCGAAGATATGATTAATGGGTTAAGAAAACTAAATAACTCTGTTTTACGTTTATTTAATATTTAACTTAATCTTTTATAATATTTATGAATATTTTTTCGTAATGAAGAAGAAAATATTCTATAACATTAATCTTAATCAAGAAAAACGAATTTATATTACAAACAACATTAATCATCATTATTAATCAAGAAAAATTTATTGTCTTCATACAAGTGACGACAGCAATAACAAAAAAATCATATTCTGTCTTGCTCAAAAAAACAAACAAAAAAAAAAAAAGAAAGGAAAAAAAGAAAAAGAAATTTTAATAATTATTTCAATTATGAATTTATTCATCACTTGTATATTTATTAATCAAATATGAATTTGTTAAATAATTATCAATTTATAGAATATACTATTTATCTACATTTTTCATTATATCACAAATTTATTAATCGTATCATAAATTTGTTAATCATTGGATTATTCATTAATTTATTAATTGCTCTTATTAAGTTATTAATCATATCGTGAATTTATTAAGCATTTATAAATCTATTGATCATTTCATCATTCATAAATTTATTAAACTCTTATGATCGTTCATAATTTTTTATTCCTATATATATATATATATATATATATATATATATATATATATGTCAAACATTTTTTATCATCTTCGATAATGTCCATTTAGTGTCCTTAACAATGAACTTGGCGAACATTAGCAAAGTAAAGAGATTTAAATTAGTGTGTTCCGCAAGTAACAATGAGCGTGACCTTAGGAAACAGCGCATTCATTCGCAACAAACGTGATCGGTATTTCGTACAACATACATAGATAATTGTATCTTTCTTTTATGTGACGTTATAACTCACGTGGACATTGCCGGACATTAATTATATTTTATAGATACATATTTCAGATATGTCGCATTTCGAAATTAATTTATAGACTTAAAGAAAGCCTGCTCGTAAGAAAAAAAAAAATTTACATGAAATAATTAATGACTTTTTTAAAATACTTCGTAAGTTTTACGAATACTGTATGTGTATACAGAGCAAACAGAGATATGTGTGAATTTTTTAAATAGTTATACTAAATGAATTGCATTCCATGTTATAATTATATACTATGTCCTATGTATAGTGTAATAGGAATAGGAATAGTAGTAGTAATAGTAATAGTAATAGTAATAGTAATAGTAATAGTAATATTTTGATTCCGGAAATTATAATAATTTAATTAACTTGTTAAAAACAAATATTACTTTTTTTTTTTTTTTTTTTTTTTTTTTTTTTTTCCATAATTATTACATGGAAGAAAGCGAAAATTTCTTTTGGAATGCACTTATAATAGAAACTCTCCTTCGTTTGTTATACTTGTTTGATTGTACTGCAATTGTATATATCCGAAGTAAACTGTAGTAGAGATAGCATAGTTAAAGACTATAAAATGATCTAATCGGTTCTTCACAAAATCTGTTGCGAAAAATATTTCTATTTACTCTGACGTCATTTTTCTTGTTCTTTTTTTTTTTTCTTTTTCTTTTCTCTTTTTTTTTTGTTTTTATTTATTATCATTTATTATTATTATTATTATTATTATTATTATTATTATTATTATTATTATTATTATTATTATTATTATTATTATTATTATTATTATTATTACTATTTATATTATTATACGTATTACTATTATTATTATTATAATTTTTTTCTTTCTTCAATTTAATTCGTTGGTTTAAAAAAAAAAAAGGAAGAAAAAAAAAGAAAAACTGACTATAACTTGTTTTTCTTGATAATATTACGAAATTTCCTGAAATATCTAGTTTTTTATTTTTATTTTTATTTCGCGTGCCACTTTCAGTGACACCAATTCACCAATTTTGAACGTGATGTTATATTAATCGCAGTCATCGAAATTCTTTTTTAAGAACGTCTAAAGATTAAATTTTTCTCTTTACATACTTTCTTTTATATATACTTATATATATATATATATTTAGTGAAATGAAAAAACAAAAAAGACGGAGATTTTTTTTTTTTTTTTTTTTTTTTATACGAAACTGAACTTTGAATAATATATATTTAAAAAAAAAAAAGAAATAGAAAATTTTGTACGAAATTGTTGACGTGACCTTAATTATTAAGTATAAAGAAAACATTCAAAATTGATAATGAGAAATAAATTTATTTTGACAATTTTAACAGTAGGATAATAATGATAATTACAACGAATAAATATAACAAAATGATAATAAAAAAGATTTAATTTGCGTATGATATATATTCTAAAACATAGATCAACGCATAAATCTACATCGTATTCTTTGCATTCATATCTACTTTCTCGGCGGATTTTATGTTTCTCATATATTACATACTTGCGCGTTTTTTTCTTTTTCCTTTTCTTTTTTCTTTTTTTTTTTCTTTTTCTTTTTTTCTTTTTTTTCGAAGATGAATTAAATTTTCCTTTCCCATTGTATTTATTTAAAGTGCGTAGATTCCTTTTTTTGAAAGATTTGTTTTATCAGTTGTAAATGAAATGTCGCGTAATGTAACTCTTTACCTGATACGTATTTATACAAAACATACGAGTTACAAATATTTACATTTTATAAATGAAAGAAAAAAAACTTTTTTTTTTTTTTTTTTTTTTTTTTTTTTTTTTTTTTTTTTTTTTTTTTTTTTTGTATACGACATAACTTTTTAGATAGATATGTGACGGCGTATAATATACGCCTTTCTTATATATTGATAGACTTGTGAGGGCGTATATATACGCCCCTTTCGTATAAATTTATAGACTTAGGAGAGCGTATATATACGCTCTTTTGTAGTCAAAGGGGTTAAATGATGATTTTACAAAATGATGACGTATTTTAACATTTAACGGCGATAATAAGTTCATGACCTTCGACGATCTCGTCGATCTCGTCGATTTGAAAGCTATCATTCAGCTTCGCGAAAGTTTCCAGTTTCTTTGAAGATATATTGTCTATATGTAAGAAGAAGAAACGCGACACGCATATATGCGCCGAATAAATTTCATCAATAATATTAGAGACAAACGTGCAAATCTTCACATGTATCATTATCTTCGCTCTAATTAGAAACAAAACGAATATAGAAAAAGAGAAAGAGTTCAATTAGTATAATTAATTAGTCTAATAATAACACAAAGACGTAGTAACTATTAAAAGCATGTTTTGTCCATCAAAATTATATAGGAATTCTATAGAAATTCAGCATTTTCTTTTCTTTTTTTGTTTGTTTATTTATTTATTTAGTTAGTTATTTTTCTTTTTTTTTTTTTTTTTGTGGAGTTAGCAGACAAGTCATTTTGTTTGAATGTTTATTTATTTATTTAGTTAGTTATTTTTCTTTTTTTTTTCTTTTTTTTGTGGAGTTAGCAGACAAGTCATTTTGTTTGAATGATCTCGAGCGGTAATATATAAACGATATCGAATAAATCGACTTTGTACGAGAAAATGGGAGAGGAGAGTGCGGGAGTGGGGTAGTGGGATAGTGGGATAGTAGAGGAATATTGACAGGTGTTCGTACGTGTCGTTAACATTCGTCGTATTAAAAAAACTATGACGACAAGTGTTCGTGTATGTCGTTAACATTCGTCGTGTTAAGAAAACGACAAGAGTACGATCAGAGTTCTGCTGCAGTAATTTTATTAGCATCGTAATATTGATGCAATGCGTATCGTTCGTATTTCAATTTATTTATTTCAAATTGAAATAATACTTGTGACGATTTTCCTCGGCATATGGAGTAATTCGATGAGATGAAAAAGGGGAAGAAAAAAAAAAGAAAATGAAATTAAAAGAAAGAAAAAAAAAGAACAGATAGAAAGAACGTTCGATCGATAAAAAAATCATCATCAGTAATTCCCAAAAATATTTTCTTGCTTCGTATTTAAAGAAATATAAAAATTAATGAAATTCGTTCCTTCGGACAAAAAGAAAAAAAAAAATGAGATAGGATAAAAACGAGAAACAAGAAATAAAAGAATCTTTATGGAAAGGAGAATCTTCTTTTGATGACATTTGATAATTTTTAAAAAACGTTTTTTTTTCTTCGTATCTAAAAAAAAAAAAGAAGAACGAAAAAGAAATTAATGAAAGTAATTCCTGTGATAGAAATAAAATGAAAATGAAGAAAAAAAGAAAATGAAAAATAGAATGTTCTCGATATTAAAAAGTTCGCACGTTTTCGATAGGACGAACGAACGAATGAACGATCGAATCGAACATTCTTTAGTTCTTCTGTTTTATTTCAACAGAGAGAGAGAGAGTGAGAGAGAGAGAGAGAGAGAGAATCTGAAATTAAACAAAAAAAAAAAGAAAGAAGGAAAGAAAAAATATCTTGAATGATGTCATCATCGCGAAATTGAAAAGATTTCAACGCAACGATCGTACGATCGACATTATTTTCGCGATCGTCTTGTGTTTGCTTTTAGAAAAAAGAAAAGAAAAAGAAGATTTCAATAGACGCGTTTGTATGTATAATATAATATATATAAAAACCTTTATATGTGTTTATATAGATTTATATAAGTACGTATATATAATGTGGGTTAGAAAAAAAGTTGATAAGTTCAATCAAGTTCCTAGGTAGATTTTTTTTTTATCAATTACTTTTTCTCGAAAATTTTTATATCGATTTAAATAGTATTTATATTATAGATTATTTTTATATATATATATATATATATATAGTTTTTATTCATATTATATTGTGTGATATGTGTGTGTATGTATATATAAAATATGCTTGATGTCGTCACAAGGTTCAAAAGGTTAATTTCTTAACAAGAAATCCATATAGGGTTCTCGAAAGAACGCGAAAACGAATCAACACGTGCTTTTATCGATGAGTTCGCGAGATTCCTGACTGAGAGTCAACGAGTCATTGGAATCAATCTCTCTTTCTCTCTCTTTCTCTCTCCCTCACACTTTTTCTCTCTCGTAACTCGTAACACGTAGCTCGTGCGCAAACATCATGAACGTACTTACTTGCGTAAGCGACTTTTAACTTAACGATCGCAACGGACCGTGAAATGCAGCAATGTGACTACTCGTTACTTGTACACTTGTTCTTCTCCTCCCTTCGACGATTGCATTTTAATCGCGCCGTCGAATATGTCGTGTTGAACAATTTTATAATTTTGTCATGTTGCGCTCTAATCTAAATGATTACGAAAAGAGGAAAGAAATATTCTTAATAGCCAGGTCAATTTAAAAATCATTTTTATTCGTATTTGTTACCTTAGTATAGAATCAAGGTTATATATTTCGTGTATGTGTGTTTGCGCGCATGCGAACGCGTGTGTGTTTGTAAATTAATTATGTTCTATTTTTAAATTCGCACTGATTTAAATTATTAAAACGAAAATAATTCTTAATGAATATCAATTTAGAAATATATATATTCATATATATAGATAAACGAATTATTTATTTTTTTTATTTTAAAACTAGTATACTGATTCGGAAAGATAACAAAAGGAAATAATTATAAATATAAATCTAAAAAAAAAGATAATATCTATTACTACTATTATATACAAAATCAAGGTTATCGTATGAAGAAACGTGTACTATATCAAACTACAAAGTTTACTTAAAAATTTGAAACCGTTTTCGAAATTTTTATCAAATTGTGAGATTTTACTTTTTTTTTTTTATTTCTTTCTTTCTTACTTTCTTTCTTTATTTTTTCTTGTTTATTATCATTATTCATTTTAACTGAATGTATAATCAGTTATACATAAATGATAAATTGAATAGCTCTTCGATATAAAACGTGTCATGAATAAAATATAGACCCACGTACAAAAAAAAGAAATAATAACAAAAATATATATATATAAAAAAAAGAGCCCCCAAAGAATAAAAAATTAGAAAAACAAAAAACAAAATATGTGTGCCTTTGCAGCAATATTTACTGCCATGGCGAGCTGTTGCACAGAGTACAAATGTCGTCTATATACTCGGATTCGAAGACATTCGTCGACATGAAGATGAAGCATTCACCGGAAAAAACGCTGGCGTTGTTCCATGAATTTATGAATCGTACCGATGAAACACCAACTAAACACGAAATAGAAAATTTCGTTAACGATACATTCGATCCTGCTGGATCGGAGTTTGAAGATTGGAATCCAACCGATTGGACGGCTAATCCGAGATATTTACAAAAGATAAACGATCCGGAATTAAGGAAATTCGGTTATGATCTCAATCAAATCTGGAAGATGTTGGGTAGAAAAATGAAGGACGACGTTAAAATGAATGAAGATCGTTATTCGATCATATATGTACCTAATCCGGTTATCGTACCAGGCGGCAGGTTCCGCGAATTTTATTATTGGGATTCATATTGGATTATAAAAGGATTATTATTATCGGATATGTATGAAACGGCAAAGGGTATGTTGACCAATTTTGTTATGATCGTTGATAAGATTGGTTTCATTCCTAATGGCGGTAGAATATATTACACAATGAGATCTCATCCACCCTTACTTATACCAATGGTCGATGAGTATCTTCATGTAACCAAGGATTATCAATGGCTTGATAAATATTTTTGGTTGCTCGAAAAGGAATTTAATTTTTGGCTAACCAATCGTACCGTTGACATTGAAAAAGATGGCGTCAAGTATACCCTTGCTAGATACCATGAGGAATCATCTGGACCAAGACCGGAATCCTACAGGTGATTGTCTCTTTATCTTCTCTTTCATCGGTCGTTTTCAACCCTTTTTTTTTTTTTTTTTATTCATTTTATTTTTTTTTTTCAACGACCTCTAACAAATACTTACGTAGAAAATGATATCTCGCCCGCGTGAGAAATGCCTTTCTTATATTTATCTCAATATAGGGAGGATATTCAAACCAGTCAAAGTTTTCGTACAACCGAGGAAAAGGAGAATTATTACACGGAATTGAAAACAGCTGCTGAAACTGGCTGGGATTTCTCTAGTCGTTGGTTCATACTCGATGGAACCAATAAAGGTAATTACACAACAGAGAAAAAGAAAGAGGATACTCCTGCCCCACAATCATATGTATCTTCGCCTTGCTGTTTCTTTTTTTTTTTTTTTTTTTTTTTTTTTTACTACCCTTCATAATTCATATGATTTCGACAATTCAATGATCCTTCCGTTATGAAAATCCTTTCTAAGTGGTCACATTAGTGAGTTATCCTGACGTTTTTTAGGTAACTTAACCAATCTGAAGACGAGATCCATAATACCAGTTGATTTAAATTCGATATTATATCGGAATGCAGTACTGTTAGCTAAGTATAGTCAAAGATTAGGTAATTTTTCCAAAGCGGCATATTATGCGAACATTGCCGAGGAATGGAAAAAAGCTGTGACCGCTGTGTTATGGCACGACGAAGTTGGTGCTTGGTTGGATTACGATATAATAAATGAATTAAAGAGGGATTACTTTTATCCTACCAACATCTTGCCACTTTGGACATTTTGTTATGACCTCAGTAAAAAGGAAGAATATGTATCGAAGGCATTAAAGTATCTTGAAAAGAATCAAATAATGTTGAATGTCGGTGGAATACCAACGACATTGGAACACTCCGGTGAACAATGGGATTATCCTAATGCCTGGCCCCCTCTTCAATATTTCGTTATAATGTCCTTGAACAATACTCAAGATCCATGGGCCCAAAGGTTAGCCTATGAGATAAGTGAAAGATGGGTTCGCAGTAATTATAAAGCTTTCAACGAAACGCACAGCATGTTTGAAAAGGTGAAAGGCAAATTTTATTCTCATTGCAGATAGATAGATATATACATGTATACATACATACATACATACATACATACATCATACATACATACATACATGCATGCATAAGTTGGATTCCTCTTGCTATCCGCCATTTTCTTCTTTTCCTATAAGATTGCATTATCTTTAAATTTTCCTTTCGACAGTACGACGCTACAGTTTTTGGTGGTTATGGTGGTGGTGGAGAATACGAGGTCCAACTTGGTTTTGGCTGGTCCAATGGTCTCGTCATGATCCTACTCGACAAATATGGTAGTACCCTAACCGCGGTAAACAAATTCACGTCTGATAAAGTTGAGTACAGTAGTGCACCACAGCAAGTTGTTGTATCGACTGCTGGTCAAGTGATGACAGGTATTCTTGCCCTCATCATCTCGCTCGCGGCAGGATTTATAGGGTGAGGTGAGTGAACGACGTCAGTCGAAATGTATTTTGATTATGTGTATGTATATATATACACACATAAAAAAAAATAATAATAACAATTCTTTTTCAAACTGCCTCTTTACCAATATTCCTTTTTTCTCTTTCTCTTGTAACGATATTATTAAAAAAAAATTTCTTTTTTCTTATTTATGTTTCAGATATCAATGTGGTTTTAATCAACTAGGAGAGTATTTATGGACAGAAAAAAGCATAAAAAAAAAAAAAAGAAAAGAAAAAAATAATAGACACGAAATATTTATGATTAGTATGAAAATTATATTATAATAGGGAAATGTCAGTAGGTATATATACATGTGTGTTGTGTGTGTGTGTGTATCGATGTGTATATAGGGATAATTTCGATTTGGAGATCGAAAATGGCGACCGGATTTTTTGTCGATACGTATGTACAAAATGGCGGATGATTGGGACAAGGATGACGAACTTTTTCGTAATTTTTGTTCTTATTCCTTCATCGTTTTTTTTTTTCTTATATAAGTCGTTATTTCTCCATAAAAAATAATAATTGCTTTGCATTTAATCAATGCGCTTGTTTTTTTTTTTTTCGCGAAAAAAGAGAGTATATAAATATTAATCAATGAATAATACAAATATTTTCTCTCTTTGTTTCGCCGTATTAAAATCATAATTAATAGAATGATATGAAATTAATACGCATATACACGCACACGCATACGCACAATAGTATTTTTTTTATATACATCAATATACTTAATCATTGCATATTTCTAATATATAGTTTAGGTACTCTGTGATTACGAGGAACTTTTCGCTGGTCGATAAATCAAGTTCCAAGAAAATGATTCCTTCCTTGCATGATCTATAAATATATTACTATCATCTTCTATGCTTCTTTAAACAATAACGAAAAAAAAAGGAGAAACGATTTTTTCTTTTCTTTTTCTCTTTTTTCCTTGCAAGAATTCTATCGAATTTTTTGCACGTCGATTGACAGTCTCAGACAGTATTTAATATTTCTCTTGTGATTCACTTTGGTATTATATTCAATTTGGTAACTTTATCAGTAATATTTTCTGTATAAAATGAAATAAAATGAAATGAAAAAAAAAAGTAGGATGATAAAACAATAGAGACATTTGCAAATGTCTTGCAAGAAGTATAATTTGTAGGAAGAGAGAGAGAAACATACACATCGAAAGTTAAAGCAGAGATCATCGTGAATTATTTTGTTAATAATAATAATAATAATAATAATAATAATAATAATAATAATAAAAAAAGAAATTAAAAAAAATAAATAGAAATTTGAAAATTTTAAAGTTATAGGGTAATAAAATGTATGTGGACGAATATGCTGTATATGGCATATATATACATATATACATATATATGCCATATACAGCATATAATATATATATATATATATATATAAATGTTATTGTTATGAAAATATTAAAAAAGAAAGAAAAAAGTACGCAAAGGATAAGCTTATCTAATCAGAAGAGCGTGCCTTAAGATAATTTGTTTTTCGTGTAAATGGCTAAAATTATAAGTAATTGGGCAATGATTTGTCGTATATTATCGGAGGTAAAAGGAATTACGAATGATAAAAAAAGAAGATAAAGTAATGCTTGAGAAAGATAATTTTCAATTAAGATTGATTATATATATATACGCATGTACATATATTTTGTTTTATTTTTTTTTTTTTTTTTTTGTTTATTTTCTCGTAACATCGCAATAATTTTGATCTTAATTCTACTAAAATATTAAAAATTTCCATAACCCCTTCCCCTTCACCGCCCATTATTAATATAAACATGATGATGAAATCACATTTATGGGAAATATATATTTTATTGCATGAATTATAAATAAGTTTTGGCAATATCAATTCTATATTATTATATAATATCGAAAAAGGAATAAAAGTTAAAAGAATTAAAAATGCATGTTACGAGAAAGTTAAATATTGTTTCACATATATATATATATATATATATAAATATATATGTAACATTTTTTTCCTATTTTTGTTTGTTTGTTTGTTTGTTTTTCCTGTTAAAGTAGACCATTTTAAATTAAAAATTAAAGCATGCATCTCTTTCAAATTTTTATACCCACCATAAACAAACCGTTATATCCAAATTTTTTGTCCTATGACACTTAATAAATTCGAAAACAAAAATAATAATGATAACAATATTACTAATAATAATAAAAATAAATAAATAAATAAACTAAGAAAAAAATATATGTAACCATTTATAAAATCTTTTTTATAATATTTCCTATCCTATACAAGTGCATGAATAATCTGTTAATAAATCTTACATGAATTAATCGTTTGGACGCGAGAGAAAATTAATATTAAATTGATTTGTAAGTAATGTTAAAATTGGGTTTCGATTATTGTTGGCATTGATTACTTTCGGAAACTGGTAAGTCTATGTGTAACTACATTAATTTATTTAAATAACAAAATGTTATTTCTTTGATCGTTTTATTTTTTTTATAATAATAATAATATGAATAATAGTAATAATATCAATGCCTATGTTCAAATACAAACTCCATGTTGGTACTACTAGAGTCAAACGAGATCCGCCATTTTATTATTCATTTAATCAAAAAAATCGTATAATGGGTTAGATAAATAAAAATATTATTCTTGACTATATATTCTCTTAATACTCGTCCACACGTACGTACGTGCTTTCCTTTTTTTTGTGTATAATATATATCAAAAAAAAATACTAGTCAAGGTTATTCGTAACAACTGTACGCGTTGGCGCATTAAATATAAAAAAAAAAAAAGTACAAATGTTCCCACATACTAATTAATATCCTTGGAAACGTAGTAAAATTCTGATTGCATTAATTTTCCAATAGAGGGAACTACCATATCAAATCCTTGAATGTTTTAATTTCTCTTCGTTTCTAGGATGTTAATTCGTATTTCGTAATACTGTAATAAATGTATCATGAATGTTATCATGTCTCTAGTATCTATAACAGAACAGTTTGTTCATTGACTCAATAATTTTGCCGCCTCGTAAGTCCCGCGAAAGTTTAAAAAGCAACTTCTTCTGATATACAAAATGTTACTGTTTAACAATAAAAAAAAAAAAAAAAAAAAGAACAAACAAACAAACAAACAACTTTTTTTCTAGAAAGTATTTACCAACACAATAACTTTGTGTTTTATTTTCTGTTATTAAGTAAAATAATCTCATAAGAAAAACGTATCGTTACGATCATGTACTATCTTGTTATTATTTTAATTGCTAGAAAAATAAGAAAAAAGTGAAAAAGAAATTTTTCCCAGAAATATTTCACGATCTCTGCTTAAGTATTTTCGATAATCGTCGAAAAAGTTTCTCTCCCTTTTATAAAAATTAGGCAATAATGATTTACGTTAATCTTTATAATCTAAATTTTTGTATAGTATTGTTTTTTTTTCCAGTATGGTGATGTACAAGCGCAGACAGTACAGCGTGCCAGGACCGTCAACGTTGGGTAGCAAAAAAAAATATGGGCCTCCCGATAATAACGTCTATCGGAAAAAAATCGCTTATACGGAATTGAAAGATATGAATAATGATTGACGAACCTGATTGTTTAGAACTCGGCTGGCTATATTGTCGTTAGAAAAGAGTTATTAGAAGAAAAAAAGATATAGATATACGTCATACATAGTACGTCGTTTAAGAGGAATTAAAAGAAAATGCTCTTATATAAGTATAAAGAATGTAATGAGAGAAAGAGAGAAAATGTGAAGAAGAAAAAGATGAAAAAAATAGTGGCCTCAGGGACGTGATTCAAGCAAAACTTTCGAATGTGTTAGACAAAAGAGAGAGAGAGAGAGAGAGAGAGAGAGAGAGAGAGAGAGAGAGAGAGAGAGTGAGAGAGAGAAAGAGAGAAAAAAAAGGTTTGAGGATTACAAGTTAAACTTGGTTTAACAACAGAACAAAAAAATGGATCAGATTAGATGACGTAAAATATATCTAAAAAAAAGTTCAGATGTGATGGATCTTCGATACCGTCCAACGTGTCTTCCTACATTGACTAATAATAATTGAAAATTCAGTTTTAAAATGGCCGCTGGCGGCCTTTGAAGACACGTCTAAAAAGGTTTCGAGGTCTTTCATTCGTCGTCGTCATCGTCGATCGTTAAAATCCTTTGGTTCTTATCCTATTCATCATCCGCCATTTTGACGGGACGCCTACGATGGAAAATCAAGATGGAGAATCAGGATGGAGAATCAAGATGGAGAATCAGGATGGAGAATCAGGATGGAGAATCAAGATGGAGTATGTGTCGAGTGAAAATATTGGATGAATGAGACGAGTTGAAATAGACAACAAAAAATGAAAAATAAGAAAGATGCGGATAGGTATCCCTACGTGTGTGTGCGTGTGTTTGTGCGCGCGCGTGTGTATGTGTGGATGGCTGGGTGGATAATATCTGTGAGTTATATAAGAGAGAAAAGTGTGCGAAATAAAATTCGTGGATTATCTTGTTCCTAAGTAGAATGTTTTCGTTTGAGATATCGTTGTTTGCATCTTTTACAAGATGAAAGAAATTCACAAACAGCAATGGCAAAAGACGATTTTCGTAATTGTGTGTGTACGACATATATAATGGCATATATAGTTTTCTGTTATGTATGTATGTGTGTGTATGAGAGAGAGAGAGAGAGAGAGAACATTAAATCAAAATCGACAAGTTCGCCGAGGTTTACATGAAAAATGATTTTTTTTAGGCCAGAATTAAAAGATTTTCAAGCTGCGAATATTTCTTCTCAATTTTCTCTGTGGTTTTTTTTTATTTCATTATTTTTTTGTTTTATTTCATTAAAAACTTTTGCACGCACTCACACACGCGTACAAACGGTATTCTACGAATTGATATCTATTTATTTTTCACACGAACGCGTCGTCATGTGTTTTCTCATTTACTCTAATTAATATTATTATTAATTCTACTTCCACTTTTCTTTCGTAATTATTGTTGTTTGAGAATTATTTTTTTTATTTTTTGTATTTTTTCTTTTTCTTTCTTTTCTTTTCTTTTTATTTCTTTTTTTTTATTTTTCTCATTGATTTTAACGAACGATGAATGACGATGCTTGATCATAATTAGGGGATGGTTAAAAAAGATTCGAATAAAAACGAAAAAATCTTCAGTGTTTAGTAGTATGCGTGAGTGTGAGTGTCTGCGTGTATGTGTGTGTGTGTGTGTGTGCGCGCGCGCCCGCACTTACGTGTATACATAAAAAAGATAAATAGGTGAGTGCGTTTGTACTTTTATTGACGTCATTTCACATAAACTCGTCTATCCCAAGGAACACTCTGGTTTTAATATTATTATTAGTACTAGCATTATTATTATTATTATTATTATTATTATTATTATTATTATTATTATTATTATTATTATTATTATTATTATTATATAATTATTACTATTATGTTATTATTACATTATTTAGCACATATCGTCGTGTCAAAATGTCGTACAAAACACATATAACAATCACATACGTCCAATTATGGGGGTAGTAGGATTTGTTCTTAATTTTTTTGTTTTTTTTTTAAGACATGCGATATATACGAGCGCAGGATAGATAAAAATATACATATTATATGTTTTTAATCGAAAGAAAAATGTCGTGTTTAAGAGATTCTTTGTTAGCTTTTCGTTTTGATTTCTACATAAAAATCGTGTATCTCAGTGATAATAATTCATAGAAAGTGATGGAAATAGTATTTCCACAATTTTATTAAGTTTTCTACTAGTATGTAAATACACGAAAATATTTATCCTTCTTTCTTTATTTTACATGTTATTTTATTTTATTTTATTTTATTTTATTTTATTTTATTTCATTTTATTTTATTTTATTTCAATGGGAAAAAAAAACAGTTTGATTGATAGAATTAATAACTTAAAGAAGAAGTCTTTAGCTTCGATAATTCGTACTGTAATAAAATAAATAAAAAAATAAAAAAATAAATAAAGAAATAAAAAAAAAACATAAAAAAACATAAAAATGAATAATCAAATTCTCGCGCCATTTTATTCTGCGCTCTTTCTAGCTTTAATTGAAAAGCAAAAAAAAAAAAAGAAAATAGAGATTAGATTCTTCAGACGCTTTCGAAATTAGATTTATTTTGTATGTATATATGTATGTATATGTATGTATATACGTATATGTGCACGTATGTATATAATTATATTAATAACCGATCGATTTATTTAATAATTATCTATCATAATTATTTACGCTATTTCCATCACAACGTGAGAATCGATCGATTGATTCTTGGAATTATGATCATTGTGTAAATCCTGCGATGAAATAATGCGAATGATTTTTTCTTTCTTTTTTTTTTTTTTTTTTTTTTTATATATAAAGGAATAAACAATAATCGATCAGAAAAAAACAAAAAGAAACAAAATCGTAAGATTTTGACCAGAGTAATGAATAAATGTAATTAGCATAAATTTGTTTTTAGAAAAGGACGAATGATTCAGTCAAATATTTTCAAAAGCAAAAACAGAATATATAAATAAATAACCATAATTCATGTAATGAAATGAATGAAATCATATTGTAGCTGGCGAATATATATATATATATATATATATATATAAAAGGAAAGAAGATTAATGTGTACGAGTTAGATAATCGCCATTACGATGCCGATTTTTCGCAGGATTTTTTGTCTTTTTAAAAATAGTTTATGTATGTGTACGTAAAATGCTCTTAGATAAATTATTCACGAGAATGTTGTATTTTTACGAATATTTTTATAAGCGTGCGTGTTTTCACCCAACATCCAGATATTTTGAAAAAAAAAAAAAAGAAAAAAGGATAATAATAATTTTGTTGACTGTGAAGAGTTTTTTTCTTTTCTATTCGACGAGAGAGCCAATAGAAATCGAGGGGATAGGAAGGGAAGATGTAAAAAAATAAAAGAAACTCAAGGATGTTCGTCGAACTATTAAAAAGTTCAAAATAAAAACAATAAATTAAGAATTGACGAAGCTTCGTTTTTCTTCTTTTTTATTATTATTATTATTATTATTATTATTATTATTATTATTATTATTATTATTTTATTATTATTATTATTATTATTAATAAATTTTATTATCTATTGTGATCGAAAATTTGGCTTCTATTTTCGAAAATCTATGTTCCTCGAATGAAACAAAAAATCGGCCATGGTGCTGCCTTTATGTAAATAAAATATTATCGATTGGATGAAAATTTGTTCAATTTTTTTTTTTTTCTTTAAAATATACTTAAAATTTTCTTACACATTGGAAAAAATAATAAAGAGAGATAGATAGATAGATAGAGAGAAAGAGAAAAAATATAGAAGGTAAGTAGTAAATTCCTAAAATTATTGGATAAAGAAAATAAAAAATGGAGTCTTATTGTTCCTTAAGAATTATTTATATTTATTCACAGTACTACGTAACAACAAGGGAAAAAAGAGATAGATGATAGAGATAAATAGAAAGGAGAAACAGAGAGAGAGAGAGAGATGGAGATGGAGATGGAGAAAGATAGAGAAAGAGGGAAAGAGAGAAATACTGAATCAAACAGATGCATCTCCATATTTGGTGTATGATTATTCGAACGCGTAGATTAGAATTCACGTTGAGATTAGAGCATCCATTTGTGACAATACAATTGTATAATACTTATCATTGTTAAAAAGAGAAAACAAAGATATTATTTTATATATTGTTTTGAATTCGATTGATCGAACTTTCAATTTTGCTTTTTGCAAATACATGATATATATATGTGTGTGTACATATATACATATACATACACACCATATAGCCAAGAAATAAATTTCATATTTTTTTAAAGCGCATTAAAAATTTGGAGCGAATTTATATATCGTTTAAAATTTTCATATGGCGCATATAATATTTGATATTACTTTTTGTGAGATGAAATGCATTAGAAAAATATAAATTCAAGTTTTTCTAGCAGATTTTACAATATTCTCATTGTAATATACGAAGCATTTAGATTAAACAGTCGTTAATAATATTTGTGCTCTCCTTTTTGTCATTTAAATATGGATTATCTCGGTGATTATTTTATTTTTCATGTGTGCGTTATTAGCTTGGAAATATAATAATACATTGGATTAGAAGTAAAGAAGAATGTGTGAGTGATTAATGATTCAAAAGAAAAAAGAAAATAAATAAAATAAAATAATAGGAATAATAATTTGTATTGTGTTATTAACACTCATTGTCACAAATATTCTTTACGTCTAATCTTTTCTATTTTCGATTTCATTCAAATAAAAAAATTGTCAAATCGCAAATAGATCAGCTTTTAAAACAATGATTTTTAAGTTCCTTAATTTTTTTAATTGCAATAATAATGCAGAGCAATTGAATAATTACAACAAAATTTTTGGTTGATCCATTGTCAGTTTACTCTTCGTTAAAATTTCTTTTCTTTTCTTTTCCTTTCCTTTTTTTTGAATAATACTTTGAGAAAACATATCATTATCAAATTTATGTTAAATTCAATAAAATAATACAAGTCAAGTAACTGTGTGTATATATACATATCTATATATGTACATATATACACAGTGTCACTTTCAAAACGAATAATTTCGCATATATATATCGAGTCATAGTAATACTTTTCCTTCTTCGATTAAATAAGTATGACGTTAAAAGAATATACGTTGGACGTACATACATATACTATACATACATACATACATCATACATACATACATACATACATACATACATACATACTTATATACGAATAACGTTCAATAAGCAACGCGTTTATTAATTACGAATAGAAATAAACTTGTATGTTACTTATTAATCATTACGACGACCACAGTGTAAAAATGAAGAGGGAAGACAATCCACAAAGATATATATATATATATTTTTATATATATATATATATATGTATATATATATATATATATGTATATGTATATATGTATATATATCAGTACATTGGTGCACAGATGATACATACTCGACTTCTCATCTATATCCTCATGATAAAATTACACCTTCAAATATCATAAATATTGTATCTTCCTAATTCGTATAAATCTATAATAAATATCTATCACAAAGATTGACCTAGTATAGGTGACTTTCAAAGAGTTTATGATTCTTTCTTACGACGAAGTCATCATACAATGTGTGTGTGTGTGTGTGTGTGTGTGTAACCATAATCTCATGCAAGTAATAGCAGAATATGAATTTGTTTAAAACTTAAATATTTACAATACGTGTCTCTTTTCATAACTGCTAATTTACTTGCATCCTTATAACCACACTGATAACGACCAGTTTACTTTGATAATTATACGTATAATAATGTATTACACGTACGTGTACAAGTCAGTACTATCCTTTCATAAAGTCATCATCATCTTCATCTTCATCTTCATCATTATCTTCATCATCATCATCATCATCATCATCATCATCATCATCATCATCATCATCATCATCATCATCATCATCATCATCATCATCACCATCATCATCATCATCATCATCATCATGATTATCATCATCATCATATTATCATCATCATCATCATATTATTATTATTATATTATTATTATTACACTGATATTCTATATATAAGATGACACATACCAATAGCATTATACAGTAGTTGCAAGTATTAAAAATACTTTTTCTGTTGCATATTGACAGGTTTCATTTTCAATTACCTTTCACAGATTTTCTTCGGTATCATTTTTCATGATTATTATTTGTATATCCTAAACCCCAATATCATCAAACGATGATGGATGTTGTATGTATGTATGGTGTCTGTGTAAAAGGCTTTTTATAATTATTAAAGGCTTTTGCTATAAATTGTTCGTAAACAAAGAAACTTAATTCTTGCTTATACAGCACAGCCCTTTTCTGAATGAACATATCGTTCATGATTCGTATAACGTATAAGTGGATCAACAACGTTAACTGCTACAGTTTCTTCTTCGTTATTGACCGAACAAGTTACCATTTCTTCTGAAATATTGTAATATAATAATTGTTTAATTGATCGTAAAATTTTAACTATTGTTTTAATTGTAATTAAAAATCAATGTAAATTTCACTAACCTGGTAAACAAAATTGTAATTGATCGTTACTGGGATTAGTACTATCACCGGTGCCACTATCTTTACTGTGTTGTGAACTAGTATCCAAATACATGTGAGTTTGATTTTCTGGCGCCGTTGATATTACCGTTGTAGGTAATTGTTGCGTATTAGAATGGCGCGTGTTATTTAAACGTCTTCTTGTTTGATAAATAATTACCACCCAAACTACCGATGTACCAACGGCACAACATACCACTGTGATTATTATTAATCCCAATATATTATCTTCGTTTACGATGGACGTTGGAGCTAATAAAGAAAGAAAAGAAATTAACGAATTAATATTATTCATTGACTTGTTCAATGAATCAAATTGGTCTTATTCTAATTATTTTTCTTTTTCTTTTTTCCTCCCGGAAACTTACCAGGATTTACTGTAAGATGAGACGCACCAACAACACTGCCCAATGAATTACTCATTTCACATTCGTAACTTCCTGCATCGTTACTCATGGTATTAACTATTATTAATAATTGATTTTCTGCCGTAAAGAAATGACGTTCCGTTACTTGCAATGGACTACCATTTTTACGCCACATTAATTTTGGACGTGGTGAACCACTTGCCATGCATTCCAATACAATCGAACCACCTATCATTATTTCTTTATTCTCCATTGGTTTTACAAATGATGGTACCTCTATAAATAAAATCATTAAATAAAAATTAGAAATGAGATTCGTGGTCTTTATTCCAATTGAGAATGGATTAATGATGGAACAACTAACTCACCCAATATAGTAAGAGTCGCATTCGCTACGATAAGTCCGGCTAGGTTTTGAGCAGTGCAAGAATAAACACCACTATCAGCCATTTTTACATCTACAATAAAAAGTACATCATCCGTAGGCATCATATGCATTCTTCTTTCTCTTGCCGCTGGAAAATCATTTCCTCCATCTTTTTGCCAAGCTATCTGAGGAGTCGGTTGTCCTTCGGCTGAACATTCAAGACGTGCCGTACTTCCAGCAGTTACTCGTATATCACGAGGTATTTTTGAAAATGATGGATATACTGTAAATATGATATATCATTGGGGGAACATTGTTGTTTATTAATCTTTGTCAATTTGATAATTAACGATCGATGTGCTTTAACGTACTTAGGACACTTAGTTTGGCCTTAGCAGAATATGTAGTTCCGTAGGAATTAGTGACCATACATTGATACTTTCCAGCATTAGCATGAGTCACATTAATAAGTTGCAAAACAGAGGATGCATTTGTTACACCACCTTCCAACGTGCTAATGTCTGTTTGTAAATTAGGATTATCTAATTCCACGTTATCCCGTTTCCAAGTAAACTTTAATGGTGCGTCAGCCGTACTTGTTGCACGGCATATAAGAGTCACGTTGTCACCTTTCACACGTTTTTGATCTGTAGGCTCTTCTATTATTCTTGGCTTTGGATATTCATCTGTGCATAAATATTATTGTAAAAGAAATAAAAAAATAAAAAAAGGATAGATGTAGTTTTTAACTACATTATTATACTATCACTAACCACATGTGAAATTTGTATGATGTAATTGAGCTAATGGTTTATCTTGTAACCAATGAGGATAACCACAATGAGCTTCTGTATCTTCGAATCTATGTGATCCTATCCATGTGCTAAACCATTGTAATCCACAATCACAGACCAATGATCCTGTAAGATCGATTAAAAAAATTATGTTTTCAGTTTTGACTATAGAAATATATAGTTCAAATTAATTCGAGACTTTTCTCACTTGAATTTAATTTCAATTTCTTTAAATCTGGCATCGTATTAAATGCATTTTCTTGAATACTAGTTATATTGTTCCCACTCAAGTCGAGTTCGGTAACACGACTTAAACCGATAAAAGCATTTCTATTAACAGATTTAATTTTATTATGTGCCAGTCCTAATTTCCATAAATTACTGAGCGGACCAAAAGCTCCATTAATATCCTCTACCATGTAGGATATTTTGTTGGAATTAAGATCTCTGTAATTTAATTTATCTTTGATCAAATAGTAACAAATTAGAAATATTTAATAAAAAAAAAACATTATTAGGCATTTTTAGAACAATTAGATAAACATACAAAACTTGTAATTTTGGGGTAGAGTTGAAAGCTCCATCCGATATATACGTAATTTGATTGTGATCCATTTTTAATCTTTCTAGTTTATCTAAATGATCAAACGTATCTCGTTCTATAGAAATTAACATATTATATGATAAGTCCCTGAAATAAAGCATAGGATTCATTAATTTCCTTTTAATAAATGCCATTATAATTTATAAAAATAATAAAAATAGACATATATATATATATATATATATATATATATATATATATGTATCTCTTTACTAACAATTCAGTGATTTCTCCACAATTATCCCAAGCTTGCGATTCAATCGTTTTTATATGATTATGGGATAAAGTCAATTTTTTCAAATGTTCTAATCCAAACAAACCACCTTTCTTCACAGTTGTTAACATATTGAAATCAAGTTGAAGAAGAATGAGATTTTTAAGAGGCCAAAATGCTCCATCATTTAAGGTACTTATTTTGTTCCTTTTCAAACGTAATTCTTCCAAATTTGTTAAACCAGTTAGACTTAATACTTGCATTTGTTGCAGCTCATTTCTATTCAATTCTCTGTCATATAAATTTTATGTTTATTTATGCAACATTGACAGATATATTATAATGATATAAAGGAATTTGCAATAGGTATGAACTTACAATATCCTCAATTTTCCAAGATTACTGAAAAGTGCCGTAGAGAGACTTTGCACTGACGATATATCCATTAATTGTACAAAATGATTTTTATTTAAACGAAGTTCTTCCAATGAAGTCAAATTATCTAAGCTACCATTTTCAATTACATATATTCGATTCATATTTAAATTTCTGAAAAAGAAAAGAGAAAAAAAATAATTTATATCTTTATTTGCAAAATATTGATATAACTTTATATTATATAAAATTTGATAATAAATGGGAAGGCACGTACAAATGCACGATTCTATTAGGTGCAAGAAATGAGCCACGTCGTAGAACAGTTATTTTATTTAAACTCAAGTCCAAAGTTTGAAGCTCCGATAAGACAGCTAAAGCAGTTCCATTAATTGTAGAAATTTCATTGTGCGATCTGTAATGAAATATTAAATGAGTTTTTACAAAAGCATAGACAAAACAAAAAAAAAAGTGTTAATTAAATCAATTGGCACATTGCATAGAAAATTATAATACGTACAAACTGAGATGTGTTAAATTTTTAACGAAAGAAAGATCAGGTATTTGAGTCAATTGATTTTTATTCACTTTGAGCCCTTTCAGTTGTGCCGCATCCGATAAACCAATAGTAAAGTTATCTCCTAATTTATTAGCGCTCATATCCCTGTAAAATTATTATGTTATTGATTAGTTATCATATATAAAATCACTCATTACATATAAAAAAAAATACACACACGCGCACGCACACATACACACATACATACACATAGTAGTAGTATAATAATATCGGTATTCTATTAATTTATAAATAAAACTTACAGTTCTTTGAGTTCTGTTAAATGTAGTAACGAATCAAACTTCAAGTTGCTTATATTATTATCTTTTAGACTTCTGAAAAGAAAAAAAACCGATACGTTTTAAAGTACATTGCTATTAAATAAAAATAACTTGAAGAACTAGTACTAGTACGTTTCTATCTATGTCATGTCTTTCTTTTCTAAGAAGAATGATATCCTTAAATGATCCTTACTATTAGAAGTTAAAACTGGTTAACCTTCAAGCATAAGACTTTATATGGTAACAGTAAAATCCAAGTAGCAACTTAGCAAAGAATACAAATGATACAAGTGTATTTGCCTTAACCCAATAATATACAATTAACTATTTAGTTTATAATGTTACATAATTACTCTTTTTAAATCTCTAATTATAAAGTTCGATATAACAAATTTCGATAGCAAAGTTAGAATTTGAATAATTAATAATAAGTATACGGTAAACGTATTGTTATATAAACAAACTGTCACAAAAAAAAAAAAAGAATAAAAAAAAAAATAAAGAACTCTTTTCCTTTCTTCGAATACACTTGTGTAACGAAACAATCACAAATCTTAATGTAGTAGCGATAAATACCGTGATAATGTTATCGATATCAGAAGAAACTCGATATATAATATATATATATATATATATATATATAACGCACACACGATAATTGTAGTTAGAAATTAATGAAAAATTAAAAAAAAAAAAAAAAAAAAAAAAAAAAAAAAAAAAAAAAAAAAAAGAAAGAGACAGAAAAAGAAAAGAAAAAAAAGACAAGAAAGAAAGAAAGCCAGCAAAAATAAAATAAAATCAACATAAGAACGATTCGATTGTTTACTCACAAATTTTCGGTCCATGGTGGTAAGCCGCTAGGTGCTTCGATCAATTGTAAATTATTACATATCACAACGTTCCCTATGCAACCACATTCGACAGGACACTTATTACTTTTCTCTGAATTTGATATAATTGGCCGATCGGCCATCATCAAATTCAACGGTAAAAGAATCCATAGGACGAATAATTTCACGATGATCAAATCGTTTCCTTTCGATCGTAGCCGACATTGAATGAGAAAAATCTTTTCAATCTCCGACATTATACTTTTATCGTATCAATTTTCAACACTTTTTTCCTTTTTCTTTTTTCTCTTTTTTTTCTCTTTTTTTTTTTTTTTAATTTTTTTTATTATTTCTCAATTGAATATTGACGGATATAAGCGATTAACGCCATAACGATAAATAAACTCAACGCCACTCCTTTTCAAGGGAATTACCATAATAACGAAAAAGTCAAATATCCACATTCAATCGATTCAAAACAAACTTCGTCGACACTTGGATTCATACATCATGATGACGCCTACGACGACGACGACGACGAAGACAACGACGAAGACGACGATGATGATGATGATCAGACAGAGATAGACGAGTACGATCCAACGTTGCCAGATAATTTAGATGAAAAATTATCGAGTTCGTTAGGAGGAGGCGGAGACGCCGAGAGAATGTGTTTCTTTTTTTATCCGTTTTTTTTTTTTTTTTTCTTTTATTCCACGCACATTTCAGACCCGACGGGATTTGATTTGTCGCATCGAACCACTGTTAGTTCGGATTATCGGTACGTAGATGGTGTCTTGGTGGCGACGAAACTTGGACAAAATGGCGCGGCCAATAAGGGATGAGTTTGTAAGTATCGATTAATCGATGCTTGGTATTAATTGGCGCGAGAATTCATTTCATTTTGAACGAAGAACACGAGTTAAAAAATTTGTTCAAGTATCGTTAAATTGGATAATATATTTGAGTTTTCCTTTGATGGAAACTTATTCGTCAGGTTTTTTCTTTTTTTTTTTTTTTTTTTTTTTTTTTATATATAAAATATGAATATAATGTACAATTTTCTTGTTACCAAAAGCAATATTCGTCATCGATAATGATTAATTATAATAAAAAAAATTTTAATCTTTCATAATCAATATCATTTAAAGAAAGATATTAATTCTTATTTCGTAATTTTTCAAAATTAAGATTATAACAGTTATTATGATCTCTGGATATTAATTATATTAAGGTACAAAAGATTTGATATGATTTTTCAATATCTGATAATATCCACGTTGCATTCTGTATATGTATTACATCGTTATATATATAACGTTAATAACAAAAGTTTTCCCGCTCAAAAAAAAAATCCATCATTTTGTTGTTAATTCACCGTATATTATTATACGGTTATAACAACAGCTTTGTGAAGACAAGAACCTTGATAACCTTCTCGTAAACCTGGCCATAATACAGATTTTATTCTCGTTCCATTTGGATTTGAGGAACTGTGATGCCTCAAATGAACTTCCTTTCGAAATTCTATATCTTGTGCCACGTCCAATACCAGAGGCGTATTACGAGCCAAACAAACCCATGCCAAACCAGCGCACATGGAAGCGTATCTTTTTATTTCCGTGCATTCTTTTAAACACGGTAAATCGTACAACGTTCTTTCCAGCTGATTGATCACTTGCTCGGCTACTTCCTCTACACCACTTTGAGCACCACTGGTAGCTAATTGTCTTATTATACATTCCTCGATATTAGCAACCGATGGTACACTGGTGGTTGTACCATTTAAAATATTTAATGCTTCTAGACGTCTATACGTTTGAACCATTCCAGCTAAACGCCATGATAACTATAAAATTAATGATTAATAATAATCATAATTGTAACGTCAAAGAATGTCTGTCGTTTTCTGTGTAGATATGTTTCATAAAATAAAATGTTAATTTTAAATAATGCTAATATTAATACGAGTTAAGATTAATAACTTACCACGACTACGGAATAAAGTATTTTAGCTTTTAATTCGGGTGCATCATTAAGAGGACGCAAGGTGTCAAGTGCATCAAGAGTATGCAAATGTGCCTGTGCATACAACATGCTATATCGTTTGGATAAACGTTCGACCGGTAAATCGCCGGAAATCAACACTTGAGAACTTTTTTCCCTATTGAAAACTTCATGTCTTTTGTTTGCAACTACTACTACCGGTTCCGGTGTTCGACTTTCGTCGGTATGATATCCGGTACTACATGATTCTTCTTCGTAATCGTTCTCGAAATGTATCGGCGAAGAATATATCTAAAAAAAAAGAAAAAGAAAAAAAAAACAATTATTTTAATAGATCTTATTTTACAATTTTTTTTTCTCCTCCGAATTTACGACCAACCTTTTCCATCGATGAACCCCCATCACATATAAGTTGCAAAGTTAAAGAACAACCCTTTGAAAATTGTAATAAGTTAGCGGCCAACGTTGGATTTTTAGTCCCAGCTAAATCAATAGATTTTCTCAATGCTGTCCATTGTCTGAGAGCTTCCTTATCGTGTTCAATTCGACGTTTCAATTCTACCAACAAACTTTCCAGATTGTACGGATTACCAGCTTTCTCCAATGTATTCAATAGGCTTTGGTTGTCTATTAATCTCTGTTGAACTTCGCTGTACTTTAGCGAAAGTTGACGCTGATGGGAAGCAGCCTGGACGCCTTGATCTACTGAAAGATAAAACGTTAATCATACATATACATATACATATACATATATATATGTGTGTATATATATATATATATATATGTATTTGATGTTTACATTCGAAACCGGACGTACAACTCTCGCTTCTTAATTTATATCGACAAGATGCTTAATTTGATTTATTTATTCGATACCTTTATGAACTCCTGTATTTTTTCCAAAACTTTCTAATTTGTGAACTGCAAGTTTGTACGCATCGATACGTGCCTCGAGTTGTTCTTTAAGAACAACAGGAAGTGGTACCAAATTCGAATTCGTCGTGTTAGTTGAACCTTCCAAACTCGAAGGTACTAAACCATGCTTCCCAAGTCCTTCGACTGCTCTTTCTATAGCTTTTTTCCTCGAGGCCAATATATTCTTTGTATTAGGTGACAATCTGTTCAAATACGTCAACAATTTACACCAAATCCTTGGACGTGCATGATCCTGATTGTTCGACAACAATTGTACAACCTTCCAAAGAACTTGTTCTACTCTTAAGATCTTCGTATCGGTAACATTTAATTCTACGAGTCTACAATAAAGAGCTTCGAGCAAAGTTAAACTGTGCGGTAAAGTTTCGATCAACAAATCCACTGGAATGTCTGGTAAAGCTGTTTTCAAAGTATACTGCGGTAACTTCATCAGAAAAGCTGCCGCTTCACGAAATTGTCTACCTTCGTAAAGTCGAAGTAATCTAATAAGAAAAAAAAAAAGAAAAAAAAAAAGAAAAAAAAAAGGAAAAAGAAGATTTTCTTTATAAATTTTCATATGCTTAAGAATATTTAACTTTTACGTCGGTAAAAGAGATATCTATATTACCATTAACAAATGAATGCAATATTTACGTAAATACTTATTTTGAATTGTATTAGTTTATTACCTTCTCAAGGCCATACGTGGATTCGATCCTTCGTTCTCCAATATTCCTACATAATTTATTTGAAATTGAGAATTTGGACTCCATATTAATTTTTGAATCGGATTTCTTGGTCTTTCCGGTCTTATCCTTTCACAGGAATTTAATCCACCTGGTAGGCTCGTTCGTCTATTCATTTTTCACTCTTTTATATTTTATATCATTTACCTCATCGTTCATACACATGGAGTATCTTTATATAAAGCGAAAGTAACCAAGTAGTATATATAACGTATGTAATTAACATAAATCATTTTTGAAAATCGTATTCTTCCATATAAATAATAATAATTTTTCTTTCTTTCCTTTCCTTTTTTAAATTAAACGATCGTCATTTTCTTTTTTCACGAACCAATCATCATAATACGTAAGATGACCTATAGCTGTAGGGCAAACGATCCACTTTTTAAGAACAGACCAATCAGCGGTCCACAATTTTTAAGATGAAAATTCTCTCTCCGGGCTGTTTCCTCTCTCTCTCTCTCTCTTTTTCCTTTTGTCGACAGTTCGATCGTTTATAATAAATTTAAAAATTCGATATTTATGATATATCAGAGACGTACACAATTTTCTATTATCAAAAAAAAGACAAAAAATTAAATGGCGTTTTTTTGGTGGCAAATTTGAATCAGATTACGATGTAAAATTTCGCGCGAAACAAAAGCACTATTTGAAATATCAATTTCTCGAATCGACGAACATCGAATATAACTCTTTAATAAATAAATAAATAAGTAAATAAATAAATGAATGAATAAATAAATAAATAAATAAATAAATAAATAATTGATTTCTTGTTATAAAATTTTCACTTCCGTATAAAATTTCCATAAACGTACGCGCACGCACATGCACACACATCGATTGCGATTAAACGCGATTCATCACAGTTTATTAAATATTTATTCGTACATTTAAAATAAATAATTCAAAGCAAACTTGCTTGAACAATAATGAACGTAGAAATATAAATATACATATATCGATGATTTAACCTTTTTAATTTGTTCGTTTCGTATTTGCCAATCGCAAATTCTCGAATGATCGGGCCAGACGGACATACGGTTTACGAACGAAGAATCGAGTAACAAAATTCTCATCTCTGTGTCTTCGAAAGTGCACGAAACCTCGTTTGGACCGGCGGATGTGAAATGATATCGTGTGGTGGGAAGAAGATCGTGAACGAACGAGTACAAGAAAAAAAATAAGTGAAAGAGAAAGATAGCAAGAAAGAGCGGGGAAAAGAGTAAGATAGCAAGAAAGAGCGAGTGAAAGAAAGATAGCAAGAAAGAGTAGGAAAAAAATATGTGTGTGTGTGTATGAGAGAGGGAGAGAGAGAGAGAGAGAGAGAGAGAGAGAAAGAGAGGGAAAATGACGAGATGGAAAGGGATTAAAGTTTTCAAACATTCTGCATTTTTTCAATACGACAGATACTTGTCAGGACTTTTTATAAATCGATAAAAAAAATGATGTAACACTTTCCAAAAATTTTCAATTTTTACTTATATATATATATATATATATATAAAGTGTGTATGTATATATAGATACATATATGCATATATAAATATTATCTTCTGTTTAAAATCGATGTATTTAACCTAAAAATTTCGTTATCGTTAGGATCAATTTTGAAAAAGAAATTATTTCATAATACTTCTTTATATAATCTATATAAACTAATTTATATTTCATTCGTTCTTTTTTTTTATATCTCACATATTAATTCGATGGATAATTTTCTTTAATATATTTCGTCGAAGTATAATTGAAAAATAAAAACAATGAATCTGATTGGCGGAGAGAAGCGAAGTGATTGGTTTAGCGGGCAAAAGAAAATATCAAAATTCAAGATATTCGAAAGGGAATAAAATGATAGATAATCTCTCTTTTGTCAAACTGATTTGAATATCAAAAATGAATCTAACTAAAAGTATATGTGTGTGTATCTGTATATATATAGTATAGATTACATTTAGTGAATTTTAGATGTCATCGTGTGATTTCTGTTTCTGGGTACTTCGAATCATTGCTGAAAGATGTGATGGTGACCTACTAACCTGCATACCGATATGAGACAAGTCGATGAAGAGTATAGTACCATATATTTATATATATATATATATGCATATGTATATGTATATATTATAAATGTATACGTACAACCAAAGAAATCCGGAAACTTTCTTTTGGTATACGTTAATAACTATGGGGAATATCTCTTCCTGTGTATTAACCTGTCAATTTCTCGAGTTAGTGGTCTCTATGATGTCTCCCTTCTTTGAGAGAGTTCTGAGAAATGGATAACCAGGTTTTGAACCTGTAAAAGTAGAGTTTTCCGCTGTTTTTTTTTTGTTTTTTTTTGCATTATTAAAACGAAGAATAATTAAAGAGGTACTTGAGTTAAAAAAAAAAAAAAAAAAAAAAAAAAAAAAAAAAAAAAAATACATTGTAATAATAATAATAATAACAATTAATGCAAGATACGGATCTGCCTACTTCCGTCCATGAGTCACGTGATACACCGTTCATTAACCCTTTCGCTTCACCGCTCTTGTAAAATAAAATAATGTGTTTTCCATAGACGGAACACATCTGTGACAACTCGACGCTAATTTACGGAACGTTCACGACCTTTGATATGCGCTCTTCGTTCACCTGAACGTCAATTTTTCTAGGACGCATATATACGCCTGTTACGTTCCGTTTCATCTTCCGCATTATTTTATTATTATTATTATTATTATTATTATTATTATTATTATTATTATTATTATTATTATTATTATTATTATTATTATTATTATTACAATATTATTATTATTATCATCTTTATACTATTTTATTTATAATCTTTCATACAAATTGATGTTTACAGTTTAAGAAATTTATTAAAACTCATTTTTCTATATACATTATTAATCTTTTTGACGATAATATTCAATTAACAAATATAAAATTACATCGTTCTGTTTCAATATTTCGATTAGGTTTTATTATCGATATTTGAATTTTTTCTTTATTTATTCATTTTTTTTCAAATATCGACGCAATTGTTTCTTTTCCTTTTTTGTTTCGTTATTTATTTATTTATTGTAAGAGAATTTATGATACGCAATGTCGACACGCTGAGGTAAAAAAGAAAAATCATTACAATTGAACAATCCATTTTTCACACATTTGGACGAACGAAATAATTTGCAGTAAAAAAGAAAAAAAAATAAATAAAAAGAAAATTATTTAATTATTACGCTCAATAATAGTCATAGATGTAAAAGTTAAAGAATATTTTTTTTGTTTTTACGAACTTTTTGCAGTTATAAGAAAAATGATAATAAAGGTTAATGAACAACAATTAAAAAGTGGATTAAAATTTTATGACTTCTTTGTCTTTTCTTTTTCTTCTTCTTTCTTTTTTTTTCTTTTCTTTTTTTTTTCTTTTTTTTTCTTTTTTTCTTTTTTTTTTTTTTGACGCAGAGAGCTATTTTCGCTTTTGTCTTTTACACTTCATGATTCTTACTACAATGTACAATATTTGTACCTTTTATAATTTGCACGATAATAAAACTATATGTCAATTTCTACATTAAAATAAAAATCTATTTTATTTATTTAAAGATACGATTCTATTATGAACGGCGTATCTTCATATATGTGCACTATTTTTTATTTAAAAAAATGTTTCATATGTCACCAAATCGAGATAAGGCAACTTAATTGATACGTTCTCTCTACTTGTTATTAAAAAATGTCCAAAGTTTTTTGTACAATTATTTATAAATGCTGAGGCTTTGCACAAGTATCTATTATGAAAATACATTAAATTTACATTTTACTGAATGATCTAAGGATAGATCTAAAAATGCAAATAATTAATTAAGCCTTCTCTCTTTTTCTCTCTCTCTTTCTCTCTCTCTTTATATATATTTTATGTTAATTTCTATGAGAAATTTATTACAGGTTCTATGTCATGTATTTTGAAGGATGGATTTTCTTTTCTTTTATTTTTTACGTCTATAAAAAATTATTTGAGAGTATAATATATACACTCACATATATATATATATATATGTGTGTGTGTATATACATATATGTATATGTATGTATGTATATGTATATGTATATCATAAACGTATGACTAATATTAAAGCTTTTGGCTACTCTCGAACAAATTATTATATCAACTTAATCAGGATTTTAATGTAAAATAGTATATCATAATGATTCATTAATTACTTATAAATCTCTATGTATTTTTTTAAGTTTATAATATATTTTCAAGCTATGAGATCTGCCCGTCCAGTCGATTCATTATTATAATTAGTTAAAACACAGACTATTTCAAAATATATTTTTAATAAATTGAATTTGATCCATACTATTACAGAACATATAATCAAAAACTTTTGAAAATAATTTTCTGAAGTAATTCGAATATTTCTTGAAGCATACAATTATTGTTTATTTTTGGAATATAGCAATGTTTACAAGTTATCGCACTTGAGAATTATAGTTTGTGCAGTTATGCAAAAAAATTGTGCAAGTATGATGCTTAGATTTGCAATATGGTTCGTAAAGTCCCCCATACAGTAACATAAATATATTTTTCAAACTAAATATAGATCGTCTAGAAATATTTGTAATGAACGAATGGTAATATGAATTATTTTACTTGCGAACAGATTCAAATAACAAGCAACACACATGGTTGGTATAAAGTTCTTGGATTATTCTAAAAAAAAGTTTCTAAACTCTTGTCTATCTCTACAATAACGTCGTCTCTTTCTCAACTATTCAATATAATCTAAAATATCTTTTTTATCATATAAATGTTTGATCATGAATCAGACACATCAATACGAACTCTTCTATTCAAAGTTTCTGGGTGATTTTTTTTTATTTTTTTTTTATACTTTTATGCAAGAAGGCATATAGACTCTTAAATATATACATACATAATATATATATATATATATATATATATATATATATATATATATATATATGCATATAAGATTTATAGGAGAAGTAAATTCTACTGTGCAGTCTTTATCAAGATATACAAATGAAAACATGTACATATGCTTTCTATATGTATAAACTTTATACTAAGCAAGTAAAAAAAAGGATAACAATTTTTTTTAACATTATTACTAACGTACAGATTAGGATTATTACTTCTCCTATAATTATGAAGTATAGAAAAATACTTATAGATAATAATTCAGTTTTTTCATTACTTTACATAATGACACACCATTTTTTTGTACCATCATCAGTATGCGTTGGTAAAAACTTATCATTACCATCATTTATTTCTCTAATATTTAATTTATCAGATTGTACCTTGTAACTTACATTTGGTGTCGAAATTTGTATTGGTTTACGTAACCCTCTCAAAAGATCCATTGATGTATTCAACAAACTATTTTGCTCTGTTTTTTGTTTTTTTATGGTAAATGAATCAGGAGATTCAAGTTTACGTTTTCTTTCAACAGGATTACCATTATTGGACATTATATCTGATAATCCTGTACTGTAACGTAAAATTTTTACATTTGTCATTTCTCTTCGTGGTGACGATAACATTGATACGTTTGTTAACTGTGTATCATTTGGAGAAAACCTATAATCGAACGACGATGTATGTCGAAATCTATTGATAGCAGATCTTCCAGAAATATTCCGCAAAGTTTTACCAAAAGTATCGCTTGAAGATAAGTTGGATATATTATTATCAGTATCGCATACTTCAACATGCTTATATTTTTCTTTAAGACAATCATTTAATTTAATTTGTACATCTTTTAATGTTACTGATGCGTCATAATTTACACCTGAAATTTCATTCTTTATGTTTTGGTCAAAGTTTTCCCTTTCTTTCTGAGTATCCTGCTGACTTGGAGATTCAGATATCTCAGATAATTCAGACGTTACAGATTCTACTATATCTATGGAACAACTTTCTGTTCCTGCTTCAGATTCTGTTTGTGAACTTTTCTTTTCTTTCGTATTATCATTTACTTCTTGTATTTGAGGTAATTCCTCCGATTCATTTTCATCATTTGTTATACTAACAATAGATACACTCTCTTGTGGTTTCGCAGGACTATCCTCCACTCGCAAAGTTAATTGTACTTCATCTTGCTCTTCTTCTCTGGTTTCTTTTTTATTCTCTTCCAAATTTTCTTTTTTATCATTCTCTTTATCCTGTAATTTTATTTCATTTTGTATCGATGTTGTATCTTCTTCTATACTCTCTGCAGTCTTTTTCTCAGTATTCGTATTCAATGTAGAATCTTGTTCATCCGTTATATGATTAGTATTACTGTCTTTGGTTGGAGCTTCTTCTTTTTTGTTACCTACGTCACTTATAATCTCCTCCTTTTCATCCTTTTCTGTAGATATACTACTTGCTGTTTCTGCTTCTTCCAGTTTAGGCTGCATCTTTTGTTTTGCTATTCGTAAATGTTGAAGGGTACTTTGCACTTTACCTTCTTTACTAATTTCCTTAGTTAAACTCTTTGTTGATTGATTCAAATTATATGCTGCACTATGAAGTTTATTCTGAAACAAAATATATTATTATTGTTTTGATATTTTTCTAAATGGCAAATAATAGAATTAATTTAAATATACAAATAGAATTTGTTTTCTTTTTCTAAACACAGATTTTAGATTTTTTATTATAGTGTGTTATCAAGGGATGTGGTTAGAGATAACAATTAAGGTCCTTTACCATTTAAAGTATAGTTAAGATAAATTTACTTATTGATAAAAACTTTACTTATAAAACTGTTTAATCATTACTAATATGAATTGCAAAAACTATTAATAACTTGTTCAACAAAAATAAACAATTTTATATATCAAATAAAATTTATTTGAATTTTCAAAAGCTTAATTTTCGACTTACTTTTTTTGCAGAACCAGGAAGTACTTTTTTCTGTATATTACTCAGCTTTGGTCTGTAACAAAATAAATTAACTCTTAAAATTAATACCAACAAATATACTTATATACTTAACCACTTGCGCTGAAACAATGTTTTTTTTTCATTTGTATCATTTTTATGCAGGTCGAGATGTTTTTGTTTAAAAATTGCCAAAGACGTGTTGTACAGTCAAATCAAATAATACATTTATTTTATTTTAGTAATTTCAACCAATATCACAAAATAAAGAACAACAGTGAACACAGTGATATTATTTCGATAAATATAAAAAAAAGAAAACGATCAATTAAAATAAATTGTTTTTCCACGTTGAAAGCAGTGCAGAATCATATCCGATGACGAAAATAGAATGAAATCATATCTGAGGAAAAAAGTAGACATGAGATACTGAAAATAAAAGCAGAATATGGCAATATTCACGAATTTCAAGTGACACGTTCCAGGTAATTATAATATAACGTTCTGACACTGAGATCTATGAATTAATTGCCTGCACAAGTGGTTAATATCTTTATACCATAAATATTCAAAGAAATGCTGGAGGTGATGAGAGGTAAAAATTTTACAAATCCATATAGAAATTAAATTAAATTGCGTTATTTTCATAATTATTATCCAATGAGGAGCGATCAAAAGCAACAGATATCATTTAAAACAATTGAAAAATATAATTGGAACTTATTTCAATATGCAATTTCATTTAATTCAATTTCCATAGTTTGTACCAACCACTCCATTACGATATCTTAAAGTTAGATTTATCTTTGCATCAAGCTCGTACTCTGTACAAATATTATTACAATTATATACGGATGTACGTTTGATATATAAATAAATCTCGTATTGATAAAGCCAAGCATTAATGTGTTCCCAATATAAACATATAATTTATAAGTGGAATACAATTAATGTAAAACTTTATTTGAGAATGTAAAAATCATTGAAAAGATTATTATATGAAATATAAAAGAATCTTCAAAAGTATATAGGCGATTACAATTATGAATTGTACGGAGAGGATGGAATAAAATGCAATGAAGTAATCGCTTTGTTCCATCTTATTTATTTTACAAACCTGTTCGAATTCTCCGACTCGCGCTGTCTCTCAGGTAAGATAGATTCAAAACTTTTTGACGGCGCGGTCGTTGCCTTGATTCTCCGAACGTACAAATTCCTCTCATCGCCCCCAGGGGCCGCCTTCTTTGGCGTCTTACCCATGGCTTATGGCAAACGTTTTTATATCGTATATGTCTGTATTCCTAATTAATCGTCCTACAGATACAAATCCACGCCCTTTATTTTATTTTATTTTATTTTATTTTTTCCTCCTTTTATTTTTTTCTTTCTTTCTTTCTTTCTCGTCTTCTTTCTCTCTCTCTCTCTCCCACTCTTTTTTTTCTAATTTTTTAGCCGCGCGTCTAATCTTTGTTAGATACGTTTTTTAATTTATTTTTGAAGATCAAATTGATAAGAAGTCCGTACCTTTGGATCTTCCTTCTCTTTTTCTTTCTTTCTTTCTCTCTCTCACTCTCTCTCTCTTTTAATCGAATAAACTCAAGCTGGTCCCACTCTTTTTGCCTCTTTTTCTTACACTACATATGGATATGTATATGTATTTTCTCTCACTATCTCTCTCTCTTCTTATCTCTCCTCTCTCTCTCTCTCACTCACTCTCGCTCTCTTTACAAATGCGTTCGTAACGAAGGTTACGCGCGAAACTCTCCCTAACGACGCGACGAACTAATTCAAGTGATTTAAAGATACTTTATAACGTAATAAAAGAAATGTCGGGTTCTTCGTATACAACGACGCCATATAATGTCGTCTGATTCCTTCGATGTCGGAGAGACGCGCAAGAACGTTTTTATACTTTTTATCCTTTACGAAAGTTGGACAAGAGTCGAGTCGAGTCGAGTCGAGTCAAGTCGAATCAGTTTATCGGCAATAAATTAATATCAATGATTTTCTTAACTTCTTTTTCTTTCTATAACATCGTACCACTGATTCAATGATGAAACGATAAACTTTTACGTAACTTTCTCGACGAAATATTCGAAAGAAACTGTCATAGCATTCGATGTACGCCACACGCGTGCAACCGGTACTGCACCTCCCTTCGCGTTGGTAAATTCCAATGTCAAACATTAGAGAAGCACACGAGTACAAGAAATATATTCTCCCTTTTGGCGCATTTCTATGTATAAAATTCTTCAATAAATTCATAAATATTTCTAATTGAAACATTTCGTTATATTTCATCGCATTCAATAATTTCTTATATTTTATACCAAAATTTTCATACTTTTGTTAGCCATGATATCAAAAGAATGACTTAAAAAAGAATTCATTATAAATGGAATATCACCAAAAGGAAATGCATTTTCGCATTCATGCATCATTTGTTTGTGTAAGTACGTGCGCGTGAAATATACGTTTTCTATGTGCATTCGAGTATCGTATCTTTATTTCGAAAAGTCAATGGTAATGCAAGAGATTTCTGAAATGCACGTATGCACTTTTAGCTCTGTATGTGTATGTATGTGTGTGTGTGTGTATGTGTGTATGTACATGCACCTATGATCGCAGAGATTTCTGCATATCTTTTCTAACAATTATATAAGATAATTCATTAATCTACGAGATTTGTTTAATGTTCATTGCCGTTAAATTGTAATTCAACTACAGTTTAACTACAGTTTAAGTAGCATTGAGTTATTTAGTTACTGCGTAGTTCCTAAATTTGTAGGTGGGGGAGAAGATTTTAGATCGTAAAAGTTTAGATATATTATTATGCAATCATGGTTATATATTACTGAAAAACATGTGATTATGATTAAAAAGCAAAACATGAATTATAAAATATTATTTCTTTTTTAAACGTGTAGTAAAGTGTAATATCTTTTTTTATAATTTTATTAATTGTAAACAAACATGACAGACATTTTACATATGATCACGAATTAAGGAAAAAAAAAAAATGATTATTGAAAAAATAAATTGGAATTTATCTTAGAAATAAAATATTAAATAAATGTTTTTTTAAGAAATGTTATATGTATATATCTTCTTATATATAAATTTAAAAAAAAAATTTTTTTTTTAAATGCAATTCTTCAATATGCAATTATTATTCCTTTTTCTACGTATGCGTAAGTCAATCGATCCGAAATTAATCGATTATTTTAGTGAATGGATCATAGTTACGTAAAATATAGCTGTTCGTACAAGCTTAAAATATAAACAAAAAAAGAATGAATGAAGATTTTTAAGGGAAATAACTTTTGATATATAAATATAACATTTCATATGATTTATCTTATCGAAGCAAAAAAATTCATGAGACGAGACGAACATATTTCCGAATTTTATATAAGATGGTTTCATGTTTCTAATCATTATTAATGTGCCTTCCTTTTACAGTTTTGCCGACAGTAGATACCATGGTATTGTACATCTATAAAAGACGATTATATTATTTAATTTTTAATATGTAGTCATTTTTTTTTCTTTTTTTTTTTTTTAAAGAAATATTCTTCAATAAATTTGTGACCACAGAAAGCTTTCATAAATATATAACTGTTTATAAAAATATGAACATAAACTACGATAACATTATCAATTTGTATCTCGTATGCTCTTATGATTATATTGCTATAATGATTAGAACTTCGAATAATATTGCTATGAAGAAAAAGTATCCGAATATCGAATTAATAACATCTATATATCTTCAAAAAGAAATTAGAATTTTAGATTATTTTTATTTGCGAATTTTTTTTTTCTTTTTTTTTTTTTTTCAATCAAATAAAATCAAAATAATAATTACTACAATAATATTACTATGTAATGCTATTTATATATAGAGGGAAGTTAAGTATTTATATAGCAGGAATATAAAAATATATATTATACTGTACGAATATGTCCCCCGCTGCGTATACAAGTAATAATACTAATATAGTACTGGCAAAACTATTAATATAGTAACACTACTACTATTACTACTTAATTACTATTGTGAAGGACTTAAGTATTCGTACGTTATGAATTTGAAAATATATTTCTATTATACGAATATATAAAAAAATATATATATATATATATATAGTAATTAAAAAGGAAATTATTGTGGCAAATCCACTTACAAAGCTAGTTATAAAAATAATAAAGAATGTCGAATAGTAATATTCGTCTTTATCGATGAAAAAAAAATCAACGGGAATGATTGCCCGGCGTGGTCGAGTTTCGTTCAAAGGTGAAACGATGTCCAAATATATGGATTTTAATGAAATAAATATTAATCCATAACCAATTATATGGAACATTACTGAAATTTATATTTACAGTGAAAAGAATATTAGAAAATTATAAGAAAATTTTTTATTATCATTATATATATATATTATTATTTTATTTTTTCGTTTTTTTTATTTTTATTATTTTCCAATATTTAAAATCGTGACATAGGATGTGTCCATTTGAATTTTGACTGGTCTATATTTATGGACAATTAATATTCTTATTGGGGTTTTACTTACTCTTTTCGGTTTTTTATTTTTTTATTATTAACTGGCCATCTTACACTGCAAACGTTTAAGTATAATTATTTTAAATGTTCATCGTTTCATCTTACTTCCCCTTCGATTTTTCATTTTATCGTTGGAGGATGACATGCGCACTGATGTCCACAGTTGATCCTAATAATATCATTTCTATTATGTACTTCTCAGTGAACGTACGAGTTTCATAGATCACGGGATTGTGTTTTATAATCTTAAAGATATCTAATATAACCATTGATTTAAGTGACTCTAAAAATAAATTCCTATAAAGATATAAAAAGATCTAAGAATTTGAAGATAAGTGCGAAGAACGAATAATTGTATTGGCTTTTCATTATTATTTCAAGGAATATAATATCATTTATTTTGGAAGATTATAAGATCTTGAAAACTCACACGCATGCACACACTCACGCACGCATGTACACACACATACATACACACATACAAACACACAATCTCCATTCAAATTTTTTGGTAAACATTTTGTATATACTAAAATAAAGGAGTTTGATACAATAATAATATTATTACATTAGAACAAAGATAAATCAATCGTTTAGAAAATTGTGTTATAGACTCATTAAAACCGTACTAGCAGTAACAGGAGTTTGTGTTGGTGCACTCGCTTGTCTTACGCTCATTTCCCAAGTATCGAGTAATTGTGATACAGAGAAATGACGTGGAAGTTTTGCAATACGAGCGTTCAATGCCTTTTGAACGGCACAAAGGAATGTTGTAGTATATTCGTGAGGCGTCATAACACAACGCGGTGGTGTTAATGGATAATCAGCAGGTACAATGACCGAGACAGGTGGTACACATGGTAAATGACGATCATCCAACCAGCATATCAATTGTATGCATTTAGAACCATTTTGTTGTGCTGGATCCAAGCTTACCTATAACACGTTATATGTGTCAGGATGAAAAATTAGTATATTAGATTATTTACAATTTTTTTTTTTCTATATACTCTATAAATAATATAATTACTTTGAATCGCTGATCAAGACGTGCAATTTCTCCTTGTAATACATCCGGTATTTCACTAGGTGGCTCTTCTATTTTATGTTTCTTCAATGGTGGTAAAGTTCTGTTATCAAATTTATAAGATTTTTTTAATAAATATTTCTCTTCGCTCTGATTTTCTTACTAAATACAATGATATAAAATATATTTTCTTACTTGATCTCTGGTCCAAACAATGCCTCTAAACATGGACCAAAAGTACGTTGTAAAGTATGATTTACTACCGGACTTTGTAAATGAGTGCTTACTGCTTCCAAAAGTGGACTAAAGAAATGATGTTCTTTTAAAGTTGTTACAGGTGGTCCAACACTGCCGTCGCCTCTTTTGAAGTCGACTTTTTCTAATACAACTTCACATTTTAAGAGTGTTTCCATTGGCATACGTTTACTCGGTGTTGATAAAATCTCCAATAATCTTTTCATTTTACTTAACTTATCGACATCTGGATAATCATAAATGAAAAAATATATATATATATGTACATATTTTTTTTATGAAATCATGAAATTCATACCAACGAAATACATCTTATGGTTTCTTACTTCCATCATTTCCCATTCTGGATATCATTCTTTTTAATGGTTCTATATATTTACTAAGTTGTCGAACTTTATCTCTATATGCTTGATCTTCTTGTTGTGGGCTAGGTGTTGCTCCCACGGCTACTGGAGTATTTAATGAGCTACTAGGAGATGGTGCCATACCTAAGAAATTATTTTTTGTTGATATTACTTTAGAATCTTATTAGAAAACTTGATTATTCTATATTTGGATATACCAACCTACAGATCTTTGTGGTCCTGCTATGATAGGATGTTGTGGGCTTGGAGATGGTACCAAAGCAGGAGATGCTACCATTTGATTACTATAAAAAAATATTATTGAAAATTTTCTCATTTTTTAAAAGAACTTAAATATAATAATAATAATAATAATAATAATAATAATAATAATATATATATATAGATCAGTAATATATTACCTTGCTGGTGCTGCTAAAGCTGCTGGACTAGGGGCAGAAGGAGATGGACTTTGTCTTAAGAATTGATTTGGAGTAACATTACGTGGACCAGGAAATACAGTATTTATTATTTCTCCAGGCTAAAAGTGAAATAACAAATATCATATCATTAAAATATCATGGAAAGTATTAATAAATATCTTTGTAAATGTATATTTCATACTTTTCTTTGCATGTGATTTAGCTGTTGTGTCACTTGAGCAGGACCCATCTGGCCAGAAGAAATTTGATTCATTTGTTGGGGTATATTAGTTTGCATACCGTTTATAGATCCGCCAATCTGATTGGACATTTGCCCCGATAACTGATTTTGCATTTGATTCTGAGAAAAGATTGATATTAATTTAATATATATATAAAAAAAAAAAAAAAAAAAAAAATTATTGATTCATAATCTTAATAATAATCAATACTATGTAAGAGATATTTACTTGCATATTCTGCTGCATTTGTCCAGTATTTATTTGATTCATTTGAGTTGGAATCATTTGATTCATTTGCTGTGGCATATTTCCTTGATTCATCTGATTAATTTGAGTTAAAATTGCACCACTTTGCATACCTTGGATTGCATTCATATGACTCATAGTACCAACAGATTGCATCATACCCATTCCAGACATTTTATTTGGCAAACCAGGCATAGTCATTGGTTGTCCAGGACGTTGATTTAAACTTTGCAAAACTTATGAAACAAAAATAAAATGAAGTCAGTTGTAAGATTTAATATAGCTTATTTAATAATCTTGGATACTCATTAACAATTAAGTATTACGATTAGAATGAAATATATGTTTGTTATATATAATGAATATGTTTATCTTAAAAAATCTTAAGTAATATATAACAATTAATTGCAGAACACCAAATACCAAAAATAATACAAAATTAAATTGTAAACTTAACGAAATGGATAAACTAAATGGATAACAAATCCACTCTTATTTATCTTAATTGCAAATATATGTTTATGCATTCAAGTAAAAAAACAAAATTAATAGAAGAATAAGAAAATATTTTCTTCATAATTATGGATTTATTCATCCATGAAATGTGTAAATGCTTCATAGAAAGGTAATTTTATAAAAACTTCTAATTTATTCCACAATAAATTTAAATACATTTTTTTTATATCTTCGGACACTAATTTATTCTCATTGAATAGATATTCAAAATCAATAATGTTAATCTCAAGATTTTTATCAAATTTAAAAGTGACAATAATTATATCCGTTGCATTTATCTTCTTTATGCTCTTTGGCCATGTCTTCTCCATTAGCAACATTTTTAAATTTGTGTGATTTCGATTTACTTGAAATGCAATATCTGGATATTTCTTTTCTGCATAATCAATAATTTGAAAAATATACAAATATGATTCTATAAAGTCATCTATAACTTCTCTGATTTTTTTCATGATCTTAATTATTTTAGGACTAATCGGATTGTATACATTGCGTTTTAATATATTTTTGATTTCTAATATATCAGGTAAAAAACTACAACCCAAGGAAAAATACCACTTATGTAATATTTTACTATAACGATAAACAAATTTAAATCGAAAATATTTTCCATCATTATCTAATTCAGTCTTATAGACATAAGTTACAACTCTTCCTCTTAATCGAACTCTCATACCGCATTCTTTTTCGATTTGACTTTTTAATTCTATGATTGAATCATGATGAATTGTATTTTTCCAATATTTGTATAATAATTCTTTTTTTTTTCTTTTTTCAATGATATTAATAAATTGAGTATGACTTGGAGAGTTTTTGAGAGCTTCCAAAACCTCTGGATTATCAGAATCATAATTAGGCTCACTTTCAGATATTGATGCATATTGAGCATAGTAATAATTATTCAAATTTGACATTTTTATATCTTCTTGAAATTAATTATATACAGTATTGTATTCTATTTTGCATTAAATCAAAACATCATAAATCTTTAACACAAAATTGATCTTTTTCGATTATAATTAATATATAGGTTAAGTTAATAATAATACATACATCTATATATTCAAATATAAAAAATATTTTTGTATGAAGATCAGCTATATATGCAGATATATGGTGACTGTTCTATTTTATCGACGAAGTTTCGAAAAGAAATATCCAGATTATTGTACTAAATTTATTTACCGATAGTTAATAAATTCGTTTCCTGTAAAAAATTATACTTTTTAAGGACTATCTTGAAATTCAATATTTTGTTTTAATTTAATTAAAAGGGCTGATAAATCGATGTCTTATAAAAATCTATACAAGTGTGAATAGATTCAAATAAAAATTTATTAATCACAAGGTATATCGGCAATAATTGATAATAGCAAATTAAATCTTTTAAATTAATATTTACGATTAGTGGCTGTATTTGTAGAATTTTGTGGTACAATGCCTTGTGGATTAGGCCCAGGTCCACCCATTCCAATCATTTGATTATTGCCTGTTCCCTGTCTTGCTAAAGTTTGCAATGCACCAATCGGATCTGGCATACCTTGACCTCCACTTCCAGTATTACCAGGTGCTATATTTCCAGTTCCTTTTTTAGAATCTATAATAAAAATAAATAAAATTATAAGATATTTTTTGATATTATGGAATGTATTGCCGTATATAATTAATAATATTTAATCAATTACTCATTTCTCTGACATGGAAGATAAGTCTTGCGATAAAGCTTAAATATTCCTCCTATAAAATAAAAATTATTATTTATTTAAAATGTGACGAATGATATTTTATTGATTTATGGATTGACTACTATGTTGATACGAATCAATGTATATATACCTTGCTTTTCGCCTTTTGAAAAACATGGCTTTCCATCTCAATGCTATTCTTTGCTGTAGGCATGCCTGACATTTGTACAGCCTCATCACTATGCATAAAATAGAATAGAAATTTTTAATATAATAAATTAGTAAAATAGTAAAATAGAAAATAGTAAAATAGTAAATTAGAAAAATAGTAAAAATTTAACTAAGAATTGCAGAACTTAAAATATATGTTTAAAATATATCTATAATGATTGAAAATATTTTTAAAATAACATACAGTTTTGCTACTACACTTTGTCGAAAGCTTTGAGTTCGCCAAGAATTTTCGTCGGTTGCCATATTTTTTTCTTCTTTTTAAAAATCTTCTCTAATTAAGTCTTATTAAACGAAAATCTATATATTCTTATTGTTCTAGCAATTATTTATGTATATTATAATATTTTTCTATAACGTGTACACGTAAAACACTCTTCTTTCTCCTATTACATGTCCATAGCGCACTGCAAGGATTACTACAAGTAGGCCATAAACAAATTATAAATACTACACAACGGTTTCAATATTTCATAGATCTAACTTCAAAGAAGATAGGTAACTTCCATCTTGATGAAATGAAACATTACTGTAAGCGCCATCTATTAATGTTCGTGTAAAATGAACTAAAAATCGAAAGGAGTTATTTACTTTTTTGTCAAAAATTGAAGAAAGAGGTTAAGATATACTACTATTTATAAATTGGTCATAATAATATTTATAATTTATTTTTTATCACAAATAATATAAATGCCGGCCACAACAATGCATAAATTCGTAACATTTCTTGGAGTGATTTCCATGTTACATGCTGCTTATTCAGCTGCACAACGTGAGTATTACTTGTAAATTTTCAATACACTTGATTTATTAATTAATTTATTCGTATTTTAGATTAAGTTATCTATGTGATTTTTTTTAAAGATTTTTATTATCAATTGTTGTTCATGCACATTTATAAAGTATTTTTTTATGTCATGATCAAATTAATATATGCAAGGTCACAAAGTGTTTGTTATAATTGAATATATATTTACAGATAGATCATATTTGCGAATAACTGAACAAGAATTTACTACTTTACCAATTGATGTAAGTAGCTATATTATTCTATGTAATTCATATATATATATATAAAACGATATATTGATATATTAATAAAATTGTTGATTACAGATATTAATTCAAGGTATAATAAGTTTATTCATAGTTATGTACGGTGTGATGTACATAGCTGGTGATTTTAAAGAAATACGAGCAGTTGTTGATTTGGAAAACAAATCTTGGGAAACATTAAGAAATCTTCCATCATTTCAAATATTTAATCACCGTGGCAAATCACTATCTCCCGATTATATTTAAGTATTATAGAATATATGATTTTATTTTTTTCTAGAATGTGATATAATTTAATTGAAGAATAATAGCTCTTTGTATATTTATTAAATCTTAAACCAAATTAAAAACAAAAAGACAATGTTAATCACAAAAATAGTTCATTTTTACGCAGATTCATTAAATGTTATAAATATTTAAATAAAATAATGAATTTAAAAAATAAAAATATTTAATATTTTTATGGTATAATAAACACACATAATGGAAATTGTAATTTTTAAGTAATGCAGTTTTTATACAAACACTCATGTATATGAACATATGAAATTTAATCAAAATGTGTTCTTTATTGTTAATTGTACAAGTGACATATGAAATGAAGTTGTATCAATTTCTATAATATTGCATAATTTAATTTATGAAATGTTTTTACAAACATATTGAATAGCAAGATATTTGTGTATATGCTTTATGATGCATATGGCAGTAAATAGTACGAAAAGAAAGTTAAATTACGTCTGTTTTTCGCCTATTTGCAAAATATTTATTTTATGAGAAACATTCGTAATAATATAATAGTACTGGATTTGGACACAAGTACATCACTTTTTTTGTTTCTTCTTTTCAGCTTCTGCCTCTTTTTCTTTCTCAATCTCTGTCACATATTCTCCTATAGTGTCACTGTCTAACATCTATATTAATAAAATAATATTAATTTGCAACATTATAAGATATAAAATATATATTATATCATATCTAAAAGTTTAATTAATTAAATTAAAAGAGGACCTGCATAGGTTGCCCACGTCGCATAACTGCTATTTCTAAATTCTTTTGGCCAGATTGTACTACTTCCAATAAAGCTCTAATAGCTAATTTGATAGATCCTTTTTCTGTTGCTACTTCTTCAGGTGTATAATATTTTTCTAGAAATTCATGTACTGTTTTTGCACTTCTGCCCGTTGCATTTGCCTACAAGACAAGATATCCAGAAAATGCACAAAACTAATAGAAAATGTTTAACATATTATAAAGATAAATCAAATATTATAAGAATACCTTCCACTCATAATATATACCAGATGGTTCTGTTTGATATAAATGCGGTACACCATCATAATCAAAACCAGCTAAAAGGCATGATATACCAAAAGGTCTTCTACCATTACTTTGTGTATATTTCTGTTTTAAACCTAAGAATAATTGAAAACAAAATGGATAATTAATATTCCTAAATGATAGTTCTAAGTTACCTTACAAAGTTACCTTATCTAATGCCTACCTGCAATATACCTAGTAATATATTCCAAAGTAACAGGATCTTCAACAGTTAATTTATGACTTTGGCATTCTATTTGTGCACGATTTATTAATACTCTGGCATCCGCAGTTAATCCTTTAAAAGGTTTTATATTATTGATTAGTCATGGTGACAAAATTTTTATTCTTTTCGTCATATATTAAACGATTTTAAATTACCTGCAAATGCCATGACAACATGATCATCCAAAAGACATATTTTACGAACAGTACGTTCTTCTTGTAATTTAGCAACAGATTTCTTTTCTACGCCCAAAACAACAACATCATTTCCCCGTACTCCAACCTAAAAAATTAACATAACTTCAAAAATTGATTAATCATGATACAAAATATTTTTATATTATAGTAAGATCATATATATGTGTTAAAAATAAATATATTCTTAGAAAGGGTTGCATAGCATTTTCGAATGGTAATATTAAATAGAAGTTAGGTTAATCATTGATATTGGACATACCGCTGTTGATCCTTTTTTTACAGCTTCTTGAGCGTATTCTACTTGAAGTAAATGCCCATCAGGTGAAAATACTGTTATCGCCCTATCGTACCTAGCTGTCATGATTCAAGCGTTCTTATATTAATAAGAAATGACAGAAAACACGAAATGACTTTGCCGTTTTCCTAAAGCTGCCGCTTATTCTGACTAAATCTCTTTTCTTTTACAGTATGAGCAACATAATTCGACTCAACAGAACTCTTATGTGATTCGTTATAAGTTGGTAAAGTTTAAAACGTGCCAATAAGAGAGAAGAACAAGTTATAAAAAAAACTCATATTGTTTTTACCTCAATTAACAAATGTATTAATAATTTCATAAATAATATAGTACTTATTTTATAGTAAACAATTAAATTATTAAAATATTTATCATTTTTATTTTATTTTATAAATCTTTATATTTACCGATCGAGTGATAAAATAGATTACTTACTTAACGATAGTTGATTAATAAAGCTCGTCGATATTAAAAATATTATCGAGAAAGAAAATTTTTTTTTCGAAGAATAAATCAACTAGTTTAATTTGACCTTTAGTCAAGATAAATAAGACTACAGTTCAAGGTCGTAATATAATGGTTGCCACGTATCTATAATGCAGTAAAATAAGTCATTCTATTTCCTCATTTCCATACTTGAACGGAAAGAAACGAAAATCATGGCAACTATTCGCTTAGGTCAAATGTTATTTCCTCGCGTTTCTTATATCGTTAGAAAACCACAACAATTTGCATCTTCCATCAAGTTTTATTCTTGTAAGTAAATTTATATGTGCATTCGATTGTTTATGTTCTTTTCGATATTCAATTATTATAAAGATATCAACAAAATAAATTTTCTATTATTTTCTCACGCTTTTGTTAAATAACATATTTGTTTTTTGTATATTAATACATTTTAATTATTACGAAATTTGATTTATATAAAAACACTTGTATCATATATTTATATCAATTTGATTATCTTTAAATCGATATGCCGGCTATTTCAATTATAAACAACTTTATGATGTTCGAACAATCGATTTATATTGATAACAAGATAAAATTTTAAAATAAGAATGTTTTTTAAAAACAATAAGTAAACGAAAATTTTTTGTTATTCATGTTTTTTAAAAAACAATTATAAAAAAAAACTTTTTATTATTTTACTATATAATTCGAATTTGTAAATAACTTGATGATTATTTACAGCTCAAATCAATAATTATGAATTGATAAAAGTAGAGACTACTGGAGAAAATAAAAATGTTGGGTTAATTACTTTGAATCGGCCAAAAGCATTAAATGCTTTATGCAATCAATTAATGATTGAACTAAATGAAGCTATACAAAAATTAGATAAAGATGATAATATTGGAGCAATTGTTATTACAGGAAATGAGAAAGCATTTGCAGCTGGTAAATATAAATATTATATAATATATATATATATATTTAATTATATTCTGTTTATATACTACTTATACATGATAAATAATTTCTCAAGGTGCTGATATCAAGGAAATGATTAATAATACATATTCTCAGAATATGAAAGGTAATTTTCTTTCATTTTGGAATGCAGTTTCCAAAGTTATTAAGCCTGTCATTGCGGCTGTAAACGGATATGCTGTAAGTATTTTTATTATGTTATTATAAAGTTTATATTTTCAATAGATAGAATTTATTATTTTTAGTTAGGGGGTGGATGTGAATTAGCTATGATGTGCGATATTATTTATGCTGGAGATAAAGCAAGATTTGGTCAACCAGAAATAGCTATTGGTACAATACCTGGTTCCGGTGGTACTCAAAGATTAACCAAAGCTATTGGAAAAAGTAAAGCAATGGAAATGGTACTTACTGGAAATCAAATAACAGCGGAGGAAGCTGAAAAAAATGGTACGTAATTAATTAATTTTTTTACAAAGAGATTGGAGATTAAGTTGCTATTTTTTTAGGTTTGGTTAGTAAAGTATTCCCATCTGATAAAGTTGTACAAGAAGCAATTAAGCTTGGAGAAAAAATAGCTTCGCATTCGCAATTAGTTATATCTATGGCAAAAGAATCTGTTAATATGGGTAATTACAAGTGTTTTTATAATTTTATTATATATAATTGTAATTAAATTTCATTAAATATATTATTGATCAATTTCTAATTGTACTAGCTTATGAAACTACATTGCAAGAAGGATTACATTTTGAAAAGAGAATGTTTCATGGAACATTTGCCACGGTAAGAAATATTTTTATTACAGATAATGTTCAGTATTGCTATTAAAGAAGTTATAAATATATTTTAATTTTTTTTCAGACTGATAGAAAAGAAGGAATGACTGCTTTCATCGAAAAGCGTCAACCCAAATTTACTAATCAGTAATTACATAAAAATATATATTCAAACAATATACTTTCAGAAATTTCGGAACTATATATATATATATATTTTGATACTATATATATATTTTGATAAAAATATATTCTTAATTTTTTTTGTAATAATCATTTATGAATGATTTAATTATTATATATATAATACATATATTTATATACAACCAACCATCTATTCCTATTTCAGTCTTTAATTCTATTTAAGTCAAAACGTTCGGATTTAAAAAAATAATATAAATATACTACTTTTACAAGTGCAGCTAAATTAACAGAAGTGAAGCAACTTCGTAAATTACATTTATTTCAATTATATACATATACTCTGATGAAAAGATACATATGAAATATTAGGATAATCACAAAGACAAATATATAGTCGATATAAAAAGCGTAGTTTTGATATATATATATAATTATATATTTCGTATATCTTAAAAATAACTATAAAAAACTAATTTTTCTTTTAAAGTTTTGTTTTCTATTTAAGAAAGGACGGCATTAATTATTTTGTATATAACTAAATATATTGACTCTTTTCACTAAAATAATAAAGCTCTTCCAAAGGAATATTGTGCAATGTTCCAGCATAAATGCAAACTCTATGTATTTGATTCTAATTGAAATCGCGTTTGAGATTCTTTTAGATATTTACGCTTTTTGTTCTGTATATTTGCTTCGATAAGGAACAGTATACCTCCTATAAGAGCTAAGGTAGTGCCAACTACAGCCATTGCAAAAGACCATCCGAAATAATTATTTTCATGACCTGGCATCCAACCATCCTTATTTCCACAACATGCAAATATGATGACAGCTATAGAACCATGCAGGCCACTTGTCAATAATAAATAACTAATAATTTTAATAAGTAGGATATATCTTTTTTCCTCTGGACCACAGCATAATACCAACAGCAGCATTAATCCAAATGATATTAGAACAAGTAGAAAACATATTGTGAAAAAAAATTGAGTAGCTATCATAAAAGCTGTAACAAAATGTTGTTAATAAGAAGACTATGTACAGTTTATTAGTTTGGAGATACAAATTGATATTTGAAACTTTTAATGTAAAAAAAAAAAAAAAAGAATGTTATTACGATTTATATCATCTAAGAGAACAAATTTTTAACCTAGAACTGAAAGATTTACTTACGTGGCATTAAAAAGCCTCGTATATTATCGTATCCCTTAGTAAATGGATCATAAACCCATCTACAACCTACAAAAAATTGTGTAGGTGCATCAGATTCATATGGGCTTGGTAAAGATCTAAAGCAATGCGTCCAAAGACCCAGTTTAGCAAATTGAGCACCTATCATTCTAGGATCACTGATCAACCATGCCGATGTACCAAATGCTATGCTAATACAAAATAAGGCCAATAAAAGAATACCAACACCTACATCACCAGATAAACTTCTTATTTTCCCCATTAAGCAAAATTCAATATACTCCTATTTAGGAAAAAAAAAATAATATTTAAATGAAATCCGTCAGAATTATATTGAGATTGAAAAAAATCTTCATCGGCTAAATATAAATTTTTTTTTCTATTTAAAAATATCAATTACCAATTGTCATACAATAAAATACAATTTCATTTAACATAACCTCATATCCATCGAACCAGTTATGAAAGCATCTAACGCATCTAACTGGCTTAAAATATACTCGTATTATTGTCTCAACTGTGTAATTACTAGTTTAACGTATGGTGTAAAATAATACTCTGTGATACACTATATCCTTCATACACGCAAAAAAGCTTAGTGCTCTATTCTATACAACTTGTTCGCAATGTTATATATGCGTACGATTCTAATAGAGAAAATGCGTATATATTTCTGACACAATGTATTCTTGAACATATATAAGAATAAATAAGAATTTATAAGAAAAACAAAACAAAAAAAAAAAAGACAATTCAACATTAATCTAGTTAATAAGGTTATGGATAGAGAGTACATCGTCAGTACGTGTATAAAAATATTTTTACACACAGTAAAGAAAAATTGAAATAGAAAAAGAAAAGAGAAAAATAAAATAATTTATATAAAATAATGAGCATGTTTAAATAAATAGATTATTGTTTAAATATTAGTTTATTATATTCCGTGTTTTTCGTAGTTTATTTAGATGGATTTAAAACAATCGAAAGTTTTATATTATTTAAGCCAAATTTGCGATTTATGTACTTCGAAATATTACATGAAAATTATTTTATATTTAATGTGTTATAATCTATGTAATGCTTATTAATTTAAATGTCAATTTAAATATTAATTATAAAATAATTAAAAATGTTATACAAGCCTATTTGAATGATGACCGAATCCTCTTTTCTTTCATATCGATTTCATAATAGAACTTCATAAAAATCAACAATTTTGTAAAATCAATAATAGAATCAATAAGAACCAAAATAATGATATAAGAATAAACGGAATAATAACAAAAATAAATTTTTCATCGTAAAATATAACTATCGATATATGGTCACGTGTCCAAATGATCGATAGACACAATTTTTTGAAAATTCGCGCAATAAAATACAAACCCAAGTATAGAACAAGAGATCAGTATGTAACACTAGCGACTAAATGTCGTTTATAATATTGTACCTTATTCATTTAAATATATTTTTTCTTTTTTTTAGTATTATAAAATTACTATCATCATATATAATTCTTTTTCTTATTACATTGTGATATTGTATATTATTATTACAGTGGTGATAGTAGTAGTAGTAGTAGTAGTAGTAGTAGTAGTAGTAGTAGTAGTAGTAATAATAATAATAATATTCATGTTTTTATTTTTGTAAAAATAATATATAATATATACATGCAAAAAGAATAAATTAACATTGATAAAATAAAAAAAAAAAAAAAATGAACAGAATTCATTAAACTCTTGATCTCGGATTCACGATTCCTAAATTACATATTTAGGCGTTCGTTATTCTATAAAAAGTTTCTTAAAAGATATTTGTATTTCTAGTGTTTAAAATATAAAGGCAATTACACATTTTTCTATAATTTAACAATATCTCAGAAACTAAGATACATCGGTATGAATAGCTGAAAACATATATACTGTTCAGTAATCAATAGGGAAAATTAACATAGTGATTTATATATTATGTATATAAAATTTTGTAGTGTGCGTTTAATCTTAAGATACTAATTGGTAATTAGTATCTTAAAGAGTGATTTTATTAAATAATTAATCTTTAATACATGTTATATGATGTAAAAAATATAGCATATCTTTTTTTTCTTTTTTTTTAAGACTATATAGAAACTTTATATACAATAGTTGATATTTACAGATACTACTGGTTTTCCTTTTTTTTTTTTTTTATAAAAATTAATATTATTATGGACGGAATTAATGATACATGATGTACAGTCTAAGAAATGCAACAAACTTTATCTAAATACTTTCTAGAATTCATGATTTATAAATATAGTCTCTTATGATCTCTTAAGATTCAAATGTATAACTATGAAAGTGTTTAAAACACATTATACATATAAATTTGGATATATAACATTGTATATAAAATCATAAAAAAGCGTAATATTAACATGTATACAATTATTAGTCTTTCTAATATTTCTCAGATGATATATATATATATATATATATATATATATATATATATATATATATTTAGGCATATTGCAATTTACTATATTAGATATAGCGAATGCACTTGTGCCTGGACGGATTTTTATTTGTATTTATGCAATGCATGCTTTCTGAACACATGCCCTAATACTAAAAATATTTAATTTAATCTCTGCTATAAATAAAATAGCATAAATCATATAAGAATGCATTAAATAGTAGTGTGCGTTTTTTGTTCTTCATTCAATATTCGTTCTACTTTCTTTTTATATCTACGCCCTTCAATTAAAAAGAGTATACCAGAGGCAATTGCTGTGAAGCTACCAACAACTGCTAAAGCAAATGACCAACTGACATCATTGTGTTCCCAATTGGGCAACCAATCACGTCCATCACCCCTGGCACCAAATATTATAACAGAAATAATGCCGCATAATCCAGCTAAATTTAAAGATCCTCCGGTTGCCCATAACAGCAATTGAAATTTTTCATGATGTCGAGAACAGCAAGTATACGTTATAGTTAAAATTCCAGCGATTAATAATAATGTCATACACAGAGTAAAGAAAAATTGTGTTGCGACGAAGAAGTCGGGTAAAAGAATATCGTGAATGATATAATATTCTTCTTCAAAAACCCACCAGCAACCATAGAATCTAGTATCATACAGATGATGTGGATCTTCAAAACCTTGGAAGCAAACCTGCCATAAGCCTAAGAGAAAGAAAATAATCATTTAATATTTACCATCGTAATCATTAGAGTCTCTGACTCATTATGGATGACATATTCTTTTAAATTCAAATAAAAATATTTAATTAAGAATATTAATTAACGAAAATATAAAAATACATTTGGAACAATTAAATGATAAAGATTATTTACCAATTTTTCTAAATGTTGGATTTTCCAATTTACCATCCGTTTCAAGCCAATTGGGTGTGGTGAATGCAATAACCACAAATATAAAAGCAATTAACGTTAAGATAACTGCCGTCTTTCCATTTCGTGACTTTCCCATTGTATTTAACTCTCAATTACGTATAAACAATTGTTATTTAAATTATCGTGATTATTTATTGTCACGATCGTATTTAATTTCACTCACGTTTGTTCTATCTTCGAATTTCTCGTTAATATAAACTTTAAACGCACCACACACTAAATGCATATATTGCCTATATATTTTAAAGATGGATGCCGCTACGAATGATATCTTTAATGCATAGGTGGCACCACTCTGCGGAATAAATTCGTAATAATGAATAGCAAGTAACAAAAATTTAAATTTCTCGTTCCAACGTATAATTATTTGTAAAAATTGTATATACTTATATAATTTAAATGTTAACTTTTATTATTAATGTTATTTTGTTTCAATTTGATACTAATCAATGGATCTAAATTATTCGAAATTAGATCACAGTGGCAAAATATATTACATCTTATATCGCCAAATAAAAATGAATGATTCTAACGACAAGTAAATTCTTTTTTACTTGATAATAAATTATTTAATATATTGAAGGATATAAAAAAAATGGCGATTATAATCACTAAAGGGCCAGAAGATATTTAGGTAAATATTAAACATCTTTTAAGTAAAACTTATCTTTTAATTATTTTAACAATAATATTTTATATATTTCGTTTAATTATAAAGTTGAGGGAACAGATTTATTTTATAATAAAAAGTGTGTTCTGATTAAGAAAGGTATTTAAGAAATTGATTGAGTTGGTTACAAATGTAATATAAACCTTTTTCTTTAAAGCGATATTTAAAACATCTTATAATTGCAAAAAGCTTTCATTCCCATGATCATAGCTTTCATATTTAATCAAAAGATTATCACGATATTCTGCATAAGTTTATTATTCAAGAGCGATGTTGACTAGCTAATACTAATAATATGCACGTATATCAATGTCGTGCTTATGTCAAATATATTTATACATATATTTTTCAAAATTCACATTTTCAATTTAATTTAGACACATTAAGAAAACTATCTATTCTTAGAAACTAAAACTATATTTCACATTCGTCATTCTCCTCTTATTTGTTAATAGAAGTAAACATCGGAAAATGCATGTGCTTATTATTATTACAAATACAATTGATTATGCATGTATACAGATCATTAAGAAGTTTCCATATTATACAATATATAAAATACAAAGTGTGTAGAATGGTCCTTCAAGTTTTGTCTTCTAAAGAATAGATTTGATGTATATTGTATACAAATAGAAAATGTTTGAAACTTTTGTATGTTACATTTTATTACTAGATATGATTTATTGTTATATTATTCTTCAATTATGCATAATAATATGTGATTGTCATTGACATGAGAATCTGAGAGATATCGAATAACGAATGTCTTACAATGTTCCTTGATATGCTTATACTATTCAAATTATACTATTCATATTATTTTGTGCGTGTACTCATGGGTACTTTAATCTCTTAAAGTAGACTTGGTCTCTAACTCGATGCTTTTTATGATAAAGCTTCTTTGGAAACTTCTTAAAATCTTACAATGAAAACTAAGAAAAGGGAGAGAGAGAGAGAAAGAGAGAGAGAGGTAGAGAGAGGGAGGGAGGAAAGAAGGGAGGGAGGAAGGGAGAGAGGGAGGGAGGAAGAGAGAGGGAGGGAGGAAGAGAGAGAGAGAGAGAGAGAGAGAGAAGAGAAAAGAGAGAAGAAAAAAGAAGAGAAGAGAAGAATGAGGATGAGGAATCTTTCTCCGAAAGGGGTAGGACTGGATTTTAATGCATATCACAGTTGCAAATCTCTGCTT